ATCAATATACTGCTCTCCTTTTGGAAGTTTTATACCTTTTTAGAGCAGTCATTCAGTTGTATTAAATAAGGGGGAACTGTTACACTTGTTAGAAACAAATAGACATTAAGTTGATTAGTACAGTATTCACTGTTATATTGTTTAAACCATTAACACTTTTACTCTTCTCTTGTTTTTGCCTCTTTGAATTACCAAGAAGTAGTAGAATTTATCTGGCTTATGTTAACACTAATGAAATAAGTTCTTAGTATTGGTGTGATGGCTCCTTGTGCATCCCTCCCTCCTACCACTCCCCAAACCCCCATTTATTTAGGATGATTTTTTGCACTGGTCTTGAGAGTGGTCATAGTGATGAGGGACAGTTTATATTCTGGCTTTGCTACACGATCATTTTAAGTGACATAACATTTATGATCACTTCTTTATCTGTACACAAAAGGGAATGAATCAGTTTAAATCAGAAACATTATAGAGAGAGGGACCAGGCTGTGGACAGCAGTAATGTAGCTGGACCATGTGGGTTGGTCCTGAGTTCAGGTTCCTGGGCCTCCCTGAGTGTGTGTGGGCCTGTGAGCCGGGCCAGCACAGGCTAGGCGTGGGTCACAGCATAAAGAACCTATTGGGGTTTCCATCATAGAATAAAATTGACAAGTCTCATGTTTTATTTTTACACTGTTTGTTTAAACATTATGTTTAAACATTAGTATAGTTCTATTCCTTATATTCTGTATCAAAAAATTCACATATTTGTAAAACTGGCATACTTATAAAAAATCACTGGATTATAATTTTTGGCATAAAATCTATTATTGCTAAATAATTTGAGGGTGTAATTTATACTCATTTATTCTAAAGTCACCTATTTGATTGTGAGATTTTCAGAGTTTTTAGATAGTAAATCTCTAAATACTTCTTTACTTATATGTTGTTATTACAAGCTGTGACATATATCAGATAATTGTCAAGGATGCTGATTGATCTTGTTATGCGAACTCAAGATCCTGAGAGGAGAATGGAGAAGGGATTGCAGCATGGCCATTGCCCCTGGGGAGGGATTTCTTGCTTTCTGTCTCTCTGTCTCTCTCTCTTTCCAGTGAGCGCACATGCTCTATAGCAAAAACCTCTAAAAAATTAATTATACTTATTGTTACTTTTTATAATTATTTTTATTATATTATTTTTCAGTTTTGACCAGAAAGAGAGAGTGAGAACAAGCTGCCAGGTTCAGGACTTGAACTGCAATCAGCCGTGTGGGAATCCAGAGCCTTTAACCGCCATGCCCACCTGCTGGCCCTCCAAATAATTTTTATATTAAACATGCTAGTCTGAACTGGCCTTTTTTTTTTTAATGTTTTTGTGCCATAGGATACATGCAGTTGCCAGAGAGAGGGAAAATAAGAAATTACCTCCCCAACCCCAGGAATGGGCCAAGCTATGACCATGCTAAAATCCCTTTTTTATATTTGCATCTCAGGATTTGGGGCATGCATGCACTTGGACCCAGCATAATTTTTAAGCTGCCCAGTCTAAAACTTGAACACATAGTTGGACTTGTTGGGAATCCAGCGTCTTAACCACTACACCACTTACTGGACCCCACTTGGCCCTTTATAACTGCAATATATTATATCCAGCTTTTCAATATCTCTCTATATTGATTGACCTCATTATTTTTGACTGCTGCATTATATTTCATTGCATAAGTATACACAGTTTATTTTACTCATTGTCAGTGAATTAAACATTTCCATTGGTTTGAACTTTTCAATATTACAAATAATGTTTGCATTATCTTTAAGTAACTTTGTGCACTTGTGAATCAGCTCCTAAAATCAAGAACCTTGTATTTTGATAGATATTTCCATATTGTTCTTCAGTGGTTTTATTAATTTTTATTTCTGCTGCCAAATTAAAAGATGTTTACTCTTTATCATATTTCTTACCTACCCTGTTTTCTCCCTCCAACATTTTTTTATTAAGTGACATTTTTGTTATAGGGTTCGTGTGCTCACCAGAGAGACAGAGAGTGACAGAGAGACAGAAAGCAAGGGATGATGGCTATGCCACAATCCCTTCTCTATTCTCCTCTCAGGATTTTGGTAACACATACACAAGTGCCCAGTATGAGTTTGAAGCCACTGGGTCCGGGACTTGAACTGCAATTGACTACATGGGAGTCCAGCGACATAATCATTACTCCATCTGCTTGTCTCTCCTTCTAAACTTTTTTTTAGCCGAAATATAAACTTACAGACTTTTTTATTTTTTTTCTTTTTTTTGGAGAAGTTTTTGCTATAGGGTGTGTGCGCTCGCCAGACAGAGACAGACAGAGAGATAGAAAGTGAGAAATCCCCTCCGGAGGGGATGGCTATGCCGCAAGCCCTTCTCCTCCAATCTCCTCTCAGGATCTTGGCCACGCACGCACACGCACCCGGTGTGAGTTTTAAACCACTGGGTCCGGGACTCGAACCGTGGTTGATTACGTGGGAGTCCAACGACATAGCCATTACACTAACTGCTGGTTCCAGAAATATAAACTTATAGACTGTTTTCACATCATATATTTTTCTTTTCAGAAGTAGATGTAAGCATATTTAACATGAAATGTGTAACTGTAATTCTTTTTTTTTTTTGGAGAGGTTTTTGCTATAGGGCGCGTGCGCTCACCAGAAAGACAGAGAGACAGAAAGCAGGAAATCACCCCCCAGGGTGGATGGCCACACCACAATCCCTTCTCCTCCATTCTCTTCTCAGGATCTTGGGCACGCACACACACGCACCCGGTGTGAGAAGTCACTGAGTCCGGGACTCGAAACGCGGTCAACTACATGGGAGTCTGCGACATAGCCATTACGCTAACTGCTGATCCCTGTAACTATAATTCTCATTGTGAGAGTGAGTTTAGTTATTTCAAATTGTAATTTAAGATTTATATTCTTCAGAAAATTTTCGTAGATTACTTGCTCCTAATTTTGTATGCTCTAGTCCCAAGATTTCTTTTTATTTTTTTCTTGAGACGCACATACACACACACACACACACATATATTTATTTCAGAACGGTCATGCTGTGATCCACTCATATTCCTAGCTGGCCCAAAGCCCGGACAGAGGCGCTTCCATTGTGCTCAGTGAAGCCCCAGGACAGAGATCAAGAACCTTCCCTGTTTGGGTCAGTTGTGATACCACCGTATAGCCGCCTGGCCTTCCTACATTTTTATTCTCCTGGATTTTGTTTTTTATAAATAAATGCAGGTAACAGTACTACAATTTTTTAATACTGCTTTGATATTAGAACTTTGTTTTAAAATATAATTTGGATCGGGAACCCACAACTTGCCCCTTGAAGTCAGAGATGGTATTTTTCTACTGTCTTTGAATCTCCTGTATTATATAGAGCAAATGTAACTTATATAAAAATTCTTAATAAATACTGTGTTAGTTTTGGTTTGTACTATACAAATGTTATGGGTTGGCAAACTATGACCCATGTGCCATTATGCCCTTCAGCTGTTCTGCAAGGAAAATTTTATTGGAACACATCCACACACCTTGATATCATCTATGATTTCTTTTGTGGTATTATGGCAAAATTGAGTAGTTGCAATTGTGTGTGCTCCAAAGCCTGAAGTATTTACTTGTCGGCTTCTTACTGACCCCATTTTAGAGTATGAACTTTTTTTTTTTTTTTGGAGAGGTTTTTGCTATAGGGCGCGTGCGCTCGCCAGACAGACAGAGAGAGACATAGAGACAGAAAGCGAGAAATCACCCCCCAGGGCGGATGGTCATGTCACAATCCCTTCTCCTCCATTCTCCTCTCGAGATCTTGGGCACGCACGCACACGTGCCCGGCGTGAGTTTTAAGCCACCGGGTCCGGGACGCGAACCGCAGTCGACTACGTGGGAGTCCAGCGACATACCCATTACACTAACTGCTGGTTCCCTAGAGTATGAACACTTTGACATTAATATGTTTTTGTTTTCTCTTTATAGCACGTAGTAAGACAATCTACCCACACTGCACAATTTATGGATTTATTCAAAGATTTATACGGTTTATTATTGTATAAAGAGTGTAACTACAGGAAAAATTTCTGGAAATGAACTATGTGGGTTAGAGAGTATCTGCGTATATTAAATCTTGGTAGCTTTTTCCTCTTTTTTTGAGTAACATTACATATTCAGTGTATTCACACACTTTTCATGTTTACCGGTATAATAGAGGAAAATTATATTGTGGGTTTGGTTTGCATTTTTATGTGTTAAAGTGAACATTTCTTCATATTTAGCCAGTTGTGCTACTTTTTCTTTCTATTACCTTTTATATTCATATAAAATATATAGGACACACGTCAAAGATTTATTATTTCTAATGAAGAAACCAATATGTTGGCAAAGCTGATACAGAGGAGAAGGTATGAAACTGAAATGAAGAAGCGAGCATCATAAAAGTTCTTGGGAAAGTGGAATTGGTTTGTTGTGGTGTAAAGAAATGGAAATCCATTTGTCATTTTTCCATGATAAACATTTTCCATGAACTTTTCATAGACTTTCCTGCCCTTCCCCTTGTAACATAGTCAGTTGAAAGAAAAATTTTTTAGAGACTAAAAACACACCAAAAAAAAAAAAAAAAAAAAAAACAACAAGCAAAACCACAGCTATACGAGTTATCTTCTCTACTGGACCAAATTCATTTGCATTTTGAAGATGAAAACCACCATTTTCAACTTGTCTTCTACAAGCCATTTTTCAACTTACAGAGTCTATCTCCTAAGCAGTTATAAATAATAAGTCACACAGTTTTCTCCTCCAGAATAAGATGACTGTTAGGTAGGCTTGTTGATACTCTGTTGTGAGCATGCCATAATCTTTTTGGCTTACTTTCAAGTTTCCTCCAAGTGATGCTGTTTCTGTGTGACTTACCGGTGAATGTCTAAGAAGGTTACATAGCTCACCGTGGTCTCATTAGACATATTCATCTTTCCTTTTTTTGTTTTGTAGGAACTCATTATACAATGACTAATGGAGGCAGCATTAACAGTTCTACCCACTTACTGGATCTTTTGGACGAGCCGATCCCAGGCGTTGGTACTTACGATGATTTCCATACTATCGACTGGGTTAGAGAGAAATGTAAAGACAGAGAAAGGCATAGGCGGGTAAGTGTTTCATTTTTGACTACTCTGAGTTTATTTAGATGGGTATCTGTGTCCTTTGACATGCCCTTAGACTTTGGTGTACTCTGAGAAAACAAGATAATCCTAGTTTATGTTTCACATTTTCTTCAGTAAACCTAGAATCAGCCTCCAAAGAGCTCTGGTTCCACTAAAGGAAAATAGCATATAGAGATGATCTAGACAGTAGGGGTTACTTAGATCTTGGTTGGCCATTTTCTAGCCTTCTAAGTTTATTTGAGTCTTCTAGTTTAAATACATTATTATATATCTTAACCTCTAGTTCTTAAATATGTATCTTCTTTGAGCATTACAAAGCGGTAATTTGACTTATCCCGCAATATACACACAGCAGTGTCAGAATATCGTACCAACACCTTCACCAGCAGTTTACCTACTGAAAAGTTTCAGTGTTCTCTTTTTGCATGTGACTTTTTCTTCTTAGTATTTCTTCTATAAGAGTTATACAGTACAAGTTATTTTAAAATCCCTTGAAGTAATTTCTTTCTGTGTCATTATGTTACCATTCGATGCACTTTAGATAAATTTTACTCCAGTTTTAAGGATTGCTTTTTAGAAATAATTTTACTTTTTATAATCATGTAAAGTATTTCTATGGTTCCAAAGTTAAATGTATAAAACAAACATTCAAATAAGCCTAGTTTTTAATCCTTTTCCCTTTTGACCTGTTGCTTTCCTTCCCTTATAAGTGATCATTTACATTTTTAATTTTATGATTTATGCTTCATTTAAAAAATATAGCAAATATATTTATACTCTTGTCTTTACAGTTAAACTGTAGCATGCTTTTGGCCACGTTGCTTTTGTTCCTGTCACACAGTACTGTGTCTGTCTCATTTTTAATCACTGCAGTTTTCATTACATAGACATTCTGCAGTTTATTTAACCAGTGCTGTATTGAACATTTAGATGATTCCTATATTTTTGTTCAGAACACTAACAATAATGAACACTTTTGCACATGTATTTTTTGTACTTGGTATTCACTCTCAAGCAAGTGTCTGCCAAGAAAGCCGTGCTATAGAAGCAGTGATATAAAGAGAACAGAAGTGTGTCAGTCTGAAAATGACTTAATGTTATATTTTATTAAATGTTCCAGTTATCTTTATTGAGGAAAAGGAATATAGAGTTTAGTGATTCTTTTGAAAGAAAAGACATTCTTCTATTTCTTTTTTAAGAATTATTTTATTTAACTTTATTTATTTATTTTAATTTGACCAGAGAGAGGCGAGGGGGTGGGGGTAGTGAGAAAACAAGCCGCCAGTTCCAGAACTCGAACTATGGTTGGCCTTATGGGAGTCCAGCGCCCTTAACCACCACGCCACCTACCGGCCCCGATATACCTCTATTTCTAAAGAATGGTTAATGTCAGTATCTTATTGCTTACAGTATTAAAGTAGTAAAATTGCCTTACTCAACTTAGAACTTACTGTCTTTTTAATAGGGCCTTGTGGTTTTAAATAGACCAGGTCATTGAATTGTAGCTGTAGCCCTCCTGTGGACAGCAGGGCGCTAACATCCTAGGCTGAAGATGCGGCTTTTTAAAGTAATTCTAGTAGAACACAAGAGGTTTGGACTACATAGGGATAGATTTAGAATTGCAATCATACTAAAAGAGGCAAGACTTGCTTTCTTGTGTTTAGCAGAGAGAGGTTTGAATCAGGTCTATTACCTTGTTGTTAACTTCCTGACTTTCTATCTTGTGTTGAATACTGGACACTTCTGCCTTACTCAGGAATGAGAGTCTCTAGACCTTACCAATGGAATTGGAGCCCTCTGTATCAGTGTATTTACAAGACTACAGAAGTTCACATGACTATTACATATATTTGTAGGCATGGTATTACTCACTGATCTTCCCTTTGAGAGTCTATAATAATCCGCTCAACTATTGCAGCCAAGGAATGACAGAGATTTTAAGCCATATTATCTTGCTTCCATTAATATAAGGGATAGTTCTGTGCACCAATTAGTTTTAATTGGATTTAAAATCAACCAGATTATACAGTTTGTGGACCCCCTTACACTCACATTCTGAGTGTTCTCATTAAAAGTGCAGATTTTAGGTCAGGAGGTGGCATGGAGGTTAAGGTGCTGCTCCCCCCACATGGCTGACTGTACCATTTGAGTCCTGGGTCTGGTTGCTTGAAAATCACACTGGGCATATGTGTATGTGTCCCCCAAATCACGAGCTAACCAGAGGAGAAGGGATTGCAGTGTGGCCACCCCCTACCCCCACTACCTCACACACACGCACACACACACACACACACACACACACCATGTGTGATTTCTCATTTTTTCTATGTCTCTCTGGCCAACACATACACCCTCTAACAACAACAACAGCAACAAAGAAACCTTTAAAAACAAACAACACTGAAGAAGATCTCTGAGTAAATACATGTCATCTGGTTCACAGGTCCAACAACTATCTGACATAGTGATTTTGCCCCAAGTCAACCTTTCTTGTTATTTAGTTTGGAAAGTACTGTTCTGTGTGTAGTAACTTAAAACAAATTGCTAGATTTTAGAATTGTAGTTCCTGGGTCCAGCAGGTGGCATAGTCGTTAAGGTGATAGACTTCCACATGACCAACTGCAATTTGAGTCCCAGACCTGGCAGTTTGCTTTCTCACTCTCTCCTACCCCCCAACCTTCCCCACCCCATCTCTGGTGAGCGCATGTGCCCAGTAGCAAGTAGATAATAAATAAAATTAAATAAATAATTATTTAAAAATAAGGAATTGTGGCTCCTATTTAGTTTGAAAATGAAAGAAATATTTCTAATTTCAGATCAACAGCAAAAAGAAAGAATCAGCATGGGAAATGACAAAAAGTTTGTATGATGCGTGGTCAGGATGGCTTGTAGTAACACTAACAGGATTGGCATCAGGTAAAGAAATCTTTTAAAGCAGTCCTTTTTCTGTTCCTCAAGTATCATTGGATTTTCAAAAGCATTTATTTTTCGTGTTCAAACAGTCTTCTTAAATATAAGACTAGGAGGCAGGAGGCCTTCAAGTCTAGTCTTGGCTTTGGCACTTTAAGTGTCTCTCCAACTTGTTTGATCTTTCTGGGTTCATTTTCTATATATAAAATAAGTGATGTTGTCCAGATGATTGAAAAAATATGTTTTGATGTTAACATCATAATAAATAGCTAATATCTATTAATTGCTTTCCGTACGTCACATACTATACTAAAAACTACATGGGCCAGCTCCATGGCATAGCGCTGCTCAAGAGAGGCCTGACCCCACATGGCAACTGCAGTCTGCACCCCTAGCCCAGTGAGCCCGAAACATACTGGGCCGGAATGCCAGAGATGTGATAGAGAGAGGACTGGAGGAAGGGGGTTGCGGTGTGACCATACCCTGTGGGGCGTGCTTGTCTCCATCTTCCCCTCTCTCATACTTCTTTGCATGTGCACTTTTCTATCATATTAAAAAAATTTTTTTTTAACCCTCTGCCAATCTCATGGTAATCCTATAGTGAAAATACTATCATTATCACAATTTTACAGTTAGGGGACAGAAACACAAGAGAAGTTAGGTCATATAACTAGTAAGTGGCTTAGTCAGCATTTAATTCAGGCTCAAGAGCCTACTCCTTTAATCACCATGCCCTACAGCATGGCCACAAGGTCCCTGTGTACAAGATTATAAGAAATAGTAATTGAGGCTCTGAAAACAAATATTAAGGACTCTTTTAATCACTTTCAGCTTCCATCAAAGAAGATTATGTCCAGAAGAACATGAAAAATTAAAATTTTTGTGGAGAATAGAGGGAAGTACTGATTAATTGGCATGCACAAGAATTTTGTGGCCTCTGTGTATGTGACCCATTGATCTTTTTTTAATGATAAGAACCCAGATTTGACTATACATTTGTGTATTTTTTGTATTCTGTCAGTAAAATGATCTTTTATATGGTTTTCTGTTATTTAAAAGAAATGCAGATCTGTCCCAGTAATCCATGAATTCTGTTAGTTTCATTAATTATTTCAAAGGGCATTAAATTTTAATGAAATTGACATCATTTATAAGTCTATCAATTAAGTTTTAGATGAAAACATGCAAGTAAAACCTGGACTTCAGTAGCCAGATTTGTGACTCTCCTTGCTAAATTGCTATCTCTTGAAGATGTTTCAGTATCTTCTAAACACTTTTTTTTCTATCACAGTTAATTTAAATGATTTGACTGGTTTTAATTCCAAATGATGAATAGTTATTTTATTTTAAAGAATATCAATTTACAGTTTTTTTGGTAATAGGACAAAAATCGGATATCTTAAATTCACATGGTAGTTCTTAAGTGACCCTTTGTTTAGAGAGAGTCCTCTGCTTTCCATTAACCTCTTGACTAGATAGTTTTTGACTCGCAGAAAAATGGACCTATTTTTTTTTTTACCATCTCCAACATATTTTAACAGGGGCATTGGCTGGATTAATAGACATTGCTGCTGATTGGATGACAGACCTGAAAGAGGGCATTTGCCTTAGTGCATTGTGGTACAACCATGAACAGTGTTGTTGGGGATCTAATGAGACAACATTTGAAGAGAGAGATAAATGTCCACAGTGGAAAACATGGGCAGAGTTAATCATAGGTCAAGCAGAGGTAAGTCTTGCTTTGCTTCAAAATGAATTAAGAATCAGTAGAGCAAGGCAAGCAGGAGGAATGATGATAAAGGTGCTGGACTCCCACATGACCAACCACAGTTCAAGTCCTAGATCTGGCAGCTTGTTTTTCCCATTTTCCCTCTCTGTGTCTCTGTCTCTCTGGTGAGCACATGTGCCCTCTAGCAAATTAAAAAATAATAATATAAAAATTAGAAAAAAAGGAATTGATAAAGAAAAATGAATGTTTAGTTTATTTAATTGTAGAATTAATCACAGATTTTTGCAGTACATATTAAGGGAAAAAAAGAAAAAAAAAGTAATAAAATAGATGGAAAACATGAGCAAGAAAGGAGTATTGTTTCAAGCTTTTTATTACATGCAGAAGGGAGTATTGTTTCAAGCTTTTGTATTCATTAACTGCATAGTCATACAAGTCCGCTGGTTATTATGGTACAAATTATTGATTGAAAATTGTGACAGAAAAAAGGAGTGGTAGTCATTGCAGTAGGATCTATGTTAGTTACTAAGAAGTCCAATTATTAAAACTATTTAACATGCTGTTGTACTTGGCTAAGATTGGAAGGCATGAATTTTCATAGTATGAATTCTCTAAAATTTAGTTAAATAAGCCTTCTAAGTAGAGATACCTTGAAATTCAGACTTTTCTTTGTAGCATTATAGTATTAAATGATTATTTTACTACTGTGATGTTCTTTAATAAAGAGCATTCTAGTACTTAGCATGTTTTTTTGTTTTAAAGGAACAGGAGACTTTTTTTTTTTTCCTTTTAAACTGCTGGGTCCAGGATTTGAACTGTGGTTTGTGATGTGGGAATCTAGCACCTTACCATGCCACCTGCTGGCCCTTGAGAAACTGTGTTTAAGTTTATTTTTACCATGAGCAAGAGAGAGAGACACACAGACAGACAGAGAGATAGGCATCCTCAACAAAGTCTTCACACCACCATCCACTCCTATTCTCAGCTACCCTGGATCATAGGTTTACAGGGAAGTCTTGGACCAGGGATGAACTGAGGAACTTTCCATGTTAAGTTCAGTTTTATTACTGCTTCACCACCATCTAGCCCTAGAACTCAGAGTATGTAGTTAAATGATCACATACAGATATATGTTTTAAATTTTGTTAAAGCTAAATTTTGGAACTAAAAATACATTTACCGGAAAGATGGATAGTATGCTCACTTGGCTTAATTGAATTGAGTTTAACTTAATGATCTTTAAGAGAATTACAGCAAAGTGCAATCTGTCTGCCAATTCAATTTTATCTCCAACCATTTTAAAAAAGTGGCTTGTGGTTAGGAGGAGGGTGAAGTATAAGTGAGATGTCTTGGTAACAGGATGCTAGGGATCAGGGAAAAGTTAGGAAAACAATTAAATGGGATTAAGGATAATTGGTATGAATAAGAATCAGTTTTTAGATCCTCATTAAATCTTCTGTTCATATAAACCTTTTGTGTGTGTGTGTGTGTGTGTGTGTGTGTGAGAGAGAGAGAGAGAGAGAGAGATGGAGAGGGAGAGACAAAGACGGGTATTTTTGACAGGGTCTAAAGCGTTGTGATACTTCTGCACCACTCTTCCATTTAGTTAGGGTTACAAGTGTGCAGCCGTGCCTGGCATTTTCAGGTTGGCTGAGGAACTGGGCTGGGCCTTCCGTGCAGCTTCCAACTTCCCAAGTAGTGACGCTATTTGTGTCCCGCAGCAGCTGGGCCCATATTAAGCTTTTATTTTTGCATAGAAAAATGTGTCATGACTTTTCCAATGACCTAATATTATAGAAGTAAACCAGGAGGCTTTAATGTGTTTTATCCATGTTTCTTTTATAGCAATTACTTGCATGAGAGGTGCACCGTGAATTAAACTTGTGCTCTTCAATTGTTTGCTTTTTAGGGTCCTGGTTCTTACATCATGAATTATATCATGTACATCTTCTGGGCCTTGAGTTTTGCTTTTCTTGCAGTTTCTCTGGTAAAGGTATTTGCTCCCTATGCCTGTGGCTCTGGCATTCCAGAGGTAAGCCAGTTAATATTCAGTATCTTTAGATAGTCATCATTATAATGCTTATCTTTTAGCCTTTAAGGAAATAAAAGTAGAGTTTTTGTTGTAGTTTTCATTTTTGGGAAGAGGAATTGTTTGATATGAGAAAGAAAATTTAAAAAGTCTGAACCGTAGAAATCTTTGAAACAATAGTCTTTTTTCACAGTCTTTTTGTCATTTACCCTGGAGTTTTTTTTGTTTTTTTTTTAACTTTTCATAAATTTAGCACACAGTTAAACAAACTTTTAGAAAATTAGTTAAACATTAAGTACGTGGAAAAACATCTGTGACCTAAAATTCTTTGATGAATTAGTTGATGTTACAACCCTAATACTGTACATTCACTCTCTTTTTATAACTATCTTTTGATTAGATAAGTTAATGATTCTTGAATTTGGATATTTTATACATATTTTAAGAAAGGGTCTCACTATTTTGCAATACTCCAGCCTTAGGCAGGACTATAGGCACGTGCACCACACCTGGCTTTTAGAGGACCCAGGCTTTCCCTATAGCCTCAGCTGCAGAGCAGAGTCTGTCAGCATTTACTACAGTGGCTAAGCCAGCCATTTTATACTGAGTAAACATTTTATCACAATGGATCAACAGTAGAAACTTTGGAGATAACTAATTTAATTTAATTTTTATTTGCTGTAGGGCAAGTGTGCTTGCCAGAGAGACAGAGAGAGAAAGAGAGGGAAAGTAAGAAAGCAAACCCCCCATGGGGTGCGGGATGGCCACGCTACAACCCCTCCTCCTTCTCCATGCTCCTTTCAGAATTTTTGACATGTACACAATGCACCTAGCATGTTTTTCAAGTCACTTGGTCAGGGACTCAGCTTTAGTCAATCATGTGGGAACCAGCTGCCTTAACCACCATGCCACCAGCTAGACTTTAATTTTAATTTTGCTAGAGGGCCTGTGTGCTTGCCAGCAAATCAGAGGTGGGGAGAGAGAGAAAAAAAAAGAAGCATGTCCCGTGGGGGATGGCCATGGAGCAATTCCTTCTCTTCTACTCCTTTTGGGATTTGGGGCATGGATGCACACATTCCTAATGTGGTTTTCAAGTTGCCAGGTCTAGGACTCGAATTGCACTGTTGGCCATATGGGATCCAGCTCCCTTAACCACTATGCCACGGGTTAGCCCTTAGTTTTATCTTTCATCAAGAATAATTTAAATGGGAATTATATTTAGGTTTGAACTTTATGTGAACTCATTTGTTTCCTTTTAAATTTTTATGTACTTAAGTTACCAGCTTTTTCCTAAAGTGCTTTTTTTGTTGGGGGCGGGGAGGGTTTTGCTGTAGGGCACGTGCACTAGCCAGAAAGACAGAGACAGAGAGACAGAAAGTGAGAAATCACCACAATCCCTTCTCCTCCATTCTCCTCTCAGGATCTTGGGCACTCATGCACACGTGCCTGGTGTGAGTTTAAGCCACTGGGTCCGAGACTTGAACTGCAGTCGCCTACATGAGAGTCTTACGTCAACTGCTGGTCCCGCCTAATGTACTACATTTTAAAACTGAACTGCAGTGATTTCTTTTTTAAAGCTGTGTTAGTTAACAGTAAATTTTCTTTGCAAGTTATTTATTGGGGCCAGCAGGTGACATGGTGGTTAAGGTGCTGGATTCTCACATGGCCCACCACTATTTTAGTTCTGGATCCAGCAGCCTGAAAGTCACGCTGAGTATGTTTGCGTGCACGCTCAAAATCCCAAGACAAGAATGAAGAAGGGTTGAATCACGGCCATGCACCCCCACCCCCAGGGAGTGAATTCTCAGTTTCTTTCTCTGGTGAGCATGTGCACCCTGTGGCAAACAAACAAACAAAAGTTCTTTACTTATTTCTTCCATGAGCAAAAGAGACAGACAGATTGATAGCACCCCCTCCCAACCAAAACGGGGTCCTGACACGATAAATCCATCCTCAGCCTTCAGCCAGCCCTGGATCATTGGCACATTCATGGTGGATGTACTCAGGGAGGTTTCTGCTCATGATCCTGGAACCTTTCTGTGTGAAAATGCCATATGGATCATTGCATTTTATCACTGTGCCACTGTTTGGTCCCAAGAATATCTTTAACTAAAATTAGAGGAATCTTGTGCAGTGTTCAGCAGTTTTCATTCATTCTTCCTGGTATTTAGAAAAATATTTACCATAAATACAGTACTTTGACAAGGCATAGTATCTTTATTTCTGACACAGAACGTCCAATATGTATCTAAATGTGTTATGTTTATTTCTACAACAGAAATATCCAAATGTGCTTTCTGTTTATATACTGTAACCCTTGTAATTAAGGTCTGTATTCATTTATATAGCACAGCCTAATACTTTGATTTGTTTGTGAGATAGCGTTGCCTGCTATCTTTTGCTTGGGTAGAGAATTAGTATGTGATACAGACTTCTTGTATGAAGCATAATAGTTAAAATGTTCATTGTGAATTATTCATAGTTCACCAAAATTTGCAAAGTACTTTTGTAAATAAACAACAAAATGACTTAGATTAAGTTCTTATACTTCTTGAAGGAAATTAAGCGGCCTTAATCTTTCCTTTGTAGATTAAAACTATTTTGAGTGGATTCATCATCAGAGGTTACTTGGGCAAATGGACTTTAATGATTAAAACCATCACATTAGTACTGGCTGTGGCATCAGGCTTGAGCTTAGGAAAAGAAGGTCCCCTGGTCCATGTTGCCTGTTGCTGTGGAAATATTTTTTCCTACCTCTTTCCAAAGTATAGCACAAATGAAGCTAAAAAAAGGGAGGTAAGTATCTTTTATTTTGAATTTAACAGAAAAATATCTGACATATAGATTTTATGTGGGTAAAGAATGTCCTAATGTATAGATTAAGTTTTACTCTTTTTGGATAAATTCTGTATTCAGATAAAAAATTTTTTTCTTCAAATTAGTTTGTACTTTATTTCTGATTAATCTGTAATGTCTTTCTAGAATTCAGGCCCAGTGCTGTTCAGTTACTCTTATATTTTGGTGAAGCTTTAGACAGACTAGCTGGTGGCCACTAGGTTTTGGTTGAATTTCACAAATATAATTCCATTTGCTTTCAATTTTGCCTTAGACCTTTCCTCTTCTGAAATGTTTTCCAAACTTAACAGTTTTGCTCTTCTTTTTCAACATGAGTGTTTTCTCCAGGGTTGGGAAATCTTAATGCATATATTTTATTCCTGGAAAGTGGTGTCGAATGCTGGTAGAGGTAGTAGGTGGTATATAAAAAGCTATGTCATGCATGAGGAAAGTTAATAGAGACTTAAGGACCTCCTGAAGTTTAAATAATAAATTTTCATCAAAGGGAATATAGGAAATTCTCTTTATTCAGCTGCTTAAGGCAATTTCATTTACCATTTCTTTAGACTTTCTTAATATCTCATAGAAGACCTTTAAATTTTAGATATTTGATTTTATATACAGACTTCTTATGTTTTTAGATTGTTCTGGATATTTTATAGGATAAAATATGTAAATTAGTTCTGGACTTTGGGAGCCATTCCCTTCCTGTTATTCCAATCTAAATCTCCAAAACTAGATGGTAGAGAGATATCTGAGTTTATAAGGTGTGATTATTTTACAACTCCTGAGAACTCAGGAGTCTATGGGCCTAGCATAAGACTTTTCATCTATTTTGTTAATGTACTATAACCAAAAAAGTAGAATATTTTATTAAGCTATTCAATTTAAATAATTCTAGTTTTTTTTAAGAGAGTGATTTTTTTTTATATAGGGCACATGTGCTCACCAAAGAGACAGAAAATGAGAATTCACCCTCTAGGGGTAATGGCCATGCTACAATCCCTTTTCCTCCACCTCTCAGGATTTTGGGGCTTACTCACCTGGCATGAATTTTAAGCCTCCAGGTCCAGGACTTGAACTGTGGTCAGCCATGTGGGAACCCAGTGACATAACCATTATACCATCTCCTGGTCCCAATAATAGTAGTACATTTTAATGCTAGCATGAAAATATTCTCTTTGCATTGACAATAGATATTCGGAAAGTGGAATGCTCCAGTACTTCACAGAATCATAGTTTCATCTCTGAATGATACTTGCGATTCTAATACTTTTCCATATAACGAAAATGGCTAGCATTATTGATTGCTTGCTGACCGTATGGTACAATGGCAAGTGCTTTACTTGATTTGAAACTTTAACTTTATGATAATCCTGGTAACATGGCAAGTTATCCTCATTTATAGATTAGGAAACTAGGACTCAAGATGGCTAACTTGCCTAAGATCACATAGTTAGCTACTGGCAAACTGTGGATTAAAATTTGGTCTGACTCGAAAGTCTATGCTCTTAATACTGTACTGCTACTACTATTACAGTTGTGTGGGTGTATGTTTTTGTGTTGTCGTAGTGGCTGGTAATAAGAAATATCTAAAACTGGGTGATTTATAAAAATGTGCTAGACCTGCAGACCCCTGAGTTCCCAGTAATTTAATGAGTTGTAAATAATCATTCCTTACAGACTTGGATACCTTAGTACCATCTCTAGGGTTGCATGTGGGACAACAGGAAGGGATTGGGCTCTCAAATCTAAGGCTAATTTTCAAGGGCTCACTAGCTCAATTTTCTCCAAGAAAATATCCAGAACAATCTCAAACAAGGAGAAGTCTGTATATAAAGTCATATATCTGAAGTTTTTGATCTTCTAGAGGGTATCAGGAAGGTCTAATGAAATGGTAAAGGAAATTGCCCTAGACAACTGAATAAAGAGAATTTCCTGAATGCCCTTTGATGGGAATTTCTGATTTGAACTTCAGGAGGTTTATTCAGAGGTTTATTCAACTCATAGCTTAGTGGTCCTGAGACCTGGGGCCTTCTTTAGTGGGGGGTCTCTGGCCACATCACGAGGAAGCAGGTAGGAGAGCATGTCTGTGTTCTGTATGTGTTTCTCTCTCATTTTCTTGCCTTATAAGCCCACCAGGAGTCAATTAGGGGGGCCCTGCCCTGCTGATCTTAATCCTCGCCTCTTTTACCTTTCAACTCTGTAAGAGTTTTCATTCTCTTAATCCATGTAGTAGCTCCACACATGGATTTTGGGGAACATATTCAAACTAGAGTATATATGTTAAAAATAAAACAAAACCCAAAAACTGTACTGTATACTCAGCAAGTCAGTGGCTAAGGTGGAGCATTTGCCTCCTCTATTCAAGTCCTTTACTTTCTGTTATACCTTGATATTTTTGGTAAGGTTTTTATTTATTCACTGTATGTTCAAAAAATGTAGTTCATTAGAAATGTTATAGATATTAAAATAATTAACTCATAATTTATTTAATGAGCGAACGTACAAGCAGGAGGCAAAGGGGTGGAGAGAGAGAGAGAGGTATTTGTGATAGTCTCGCCATTACAGTCCTCTGTCTCAGTCTCCCAGTTATTAGGATTATAGGCTAGCATTACTATATCTGGCCTGTTCAGTTTGGTCCAAGATCTGAGCCTGTTTTGGTACCAGCTTCACCCAACATGGTACTTATTGCTTATGCCACTGACAGTAGAACCTGATTCACCTAAGTTTTAATGTTCACAGTGTGGTGATTAGTTAATGTTTATAGCTCTGCTCTTCTGTTACTATAATACGTGTCAAGAATTCACTTGTTAGTTGAAAGCATTCAGGATCCATATTTTTTACTTTCTTCATATTCTTATTTCTTTGACATTTTAAATTCTTCTTATATACTTTGCAACAGATTAAAACATCTGTATGAATTATTTATGTGGGTGTTAGCTTGATTGTAAAATTCTATTAAATGTAGAGTCAGAATAGTCCATTAAATAAACGTATTATCCACCATCCTATTAGTGAGTGGGGGGAAATTGGCAGTGAAATTTGCTCCTTTTCCTGTCCCAAATAATCAGTCTGCATTCTGAAGCCAGATATGGTTTAATTTAAACAACTATTTATTTTTAACTTACAATACTTGAATAAAGTGCACCTTGAGTGCCAGATGCTGTTCTAAGCACTTTGTATATATTTCCTCAATCTTCATTGAGTAAATTTATGTAAGTAATGTTATCACATTCCCATTTTAGAGAAGAGAGAAGCTAAGGCACACAGAGGTTAAGTTATTTACTCTTAGTCACACACCGAGTAAGTTGCAGAGCCAGTTACCTGACTCTGGAGTTGTCAGTCTGAGGGGGAAAAAACTGAGGCAAAATGCGTAAGCAGAGTTTATTTGAGACAGAACTGTGAACAGCTGCCTGGGTGAATATATTGGGTCATCTGGAAAGTCATGATATATTTTTGTATTGAAAAACAGAAAAATATGTCATGATTTTCTTGACAACCTAATAGATTCAAGTTGCCTGGAATGGCTCGTCCATCAAAATGGCTTCCAAAAGAATTAGATTGGAAGAAAGAGAGGGTTAAAATAAAAAAAAAAATTTCTTAAGAATTTACATTGATTTTTTTTTTTTTTAAGAGATTTTCACTGTAGGGCGCGTGCGCTCGCCAGACAGACAGAGAGAGAGACATAGAGACAGAAAGCGAGAAATCACCCCCCAGGGGGGATGGCCACGCCGCAATCCCTTCTCCTCCATTCTCCTCTCGGGATCTTGGGCACACACGCACACGCACCCGGCGTGAGTTTTAAGCCACCGGGTCTGGGACACGAACCGCGGTCGACTACGTGGGAACCCAGCGACATAGCCATTACGCTAACTGCTGGTTCCCGATTTTTTTTTTTTTTTAAGAATAGCAAAGACTTTGGGAATGCTTTCTGATTAATGCCACAGACAAAAGGTGGGGTCGCAGTGTATCATTTGTGTTAATAGTTTGGGGTAACGTATGATAATTGTTTGCAGCAGGAGCTAGTCAGAGAAGTCTTTGTTAAGATACGTTCTTAAAGCATATACTTAAGAGTAACATTGGGGGTGGGAATGTGACTGAAAATACATGCTTCTCTCTCTGTCTGGGCCAGACAAGTTTGAGCAGTCCTCACTCACTCCTTAGACTGCTATACATAGTTTTCTGTCTCAGAATTCATGCTGTTAACTCCTTACAACTTAACTGTAATTATTTCTAATTTCTCTTCCAAAATGTAAAAATTGGCTATTTGATGAAATGCTTTAGGTAGCTTCAGATATACATACTAAATAGTAATTAAAAACTCTTAGAGGAAAAAAAAGTCACGAATACATGCTCAGTGAAATTTTGTGAAATCGTATGTAGTTGACATCACTCTTGCGAAGTGGGCAGATGACCAAGTGATAGATGAAGGAGTTAAGAAAAGAGTCAGAAGAATGTTTGTGGTTTTCCTTTTTATCTGTGGGTTTCTGGTTGGTGAGACTAGTTCCTGCTTTCAGAATGAGGCTTTCTTTATTTTCAAAGGGCTCTCTTTAGAGGTATTTTCAAAGGGTTTAGGGTAGTGAAAATATAGGGAAACTTACTGGGTTTTGAATTCTCTGGATATCTTGCTAAGATATACAATAATCATGAATGGTCAAGCACTTAATTGAAAAAGCTGAAAAAAAGATACCAAATTTAAAAATAAATAAATGAAACTCTCCCTGCAAATCCCAGTTAGTACATTCTCCTTTTATCTACACAAAGGTTTTGAAACTCGTCTGTATTCATTGCTTCCTCTTCTTACATTCTAATCACACTGGTATACTTGATACAAATGTTTTTTGACTTAGTAGTGAATATATGAATGATTTTCTAATTAAAGCATAAGAGAAACAGATCATCTTAAAAGACATGAATACTTGTTCTTTGCTTTGAGAGGAAGGAGCATTTAGAAAATTCAAGTAACATGAAGAGTGTTTATTTAATATTATAAGAAAATATGAAATAAGCCACATTTTCTTTCTAGGTGCTGTCAGCTGCCTCAGCTGCAGGTGTTTCTGTAGCTTTTGGCGCACCGATTGGAGGAGTGCTTTTTAGCCTGGAGGAGGTAAAAAAGTAAAGCAGTTAAAATAATATGTAATTACTCTTGTGAATATATTTTGGCACACATTTCTGTTTTATAGGCGATGTAATAGGTACAGATTTTTATTGACTTAAAATAGATTTCAAATAGATTTAAGGTTTTTAAATCTATTTTTATGAAGTGTTTTTTACAACTTCATGATTTAAAAAAGTATGTTCTACATGTTCCCTACCTGGAGAAAAAAATTTTTAAATCTATTGTTATGTATGAATACTAGTAATTATTTTACATATAGTTTGTTGACATATTTAAAATTAAGGTGAAATTGACTTAATAAGACTATACCTAAAATGATCTGTCTCCATTGGCTATATTATATAGACTATGTTTTTTCAAAATTTTAATTTTAATGAATTAAATTTATTATTATTATTTGGAGAGGTTTTTGCTATAGGGTTCATGTGCTCACCAGAAAGAGACAGAGAGACAGAAAGCGAGAAATCACTCCCTGGGGGAATGGCCACGCCACAATCTCTTCTCCATTCTCCTCTCAAGATCTTGGGCACTCACACACTCATGCCCAGCATGAGTTTAAGCCACTGGATCTGGGATTTGAACTGCATTCGATTACATGGGAGTTCAGCGACATAGCCATTACGCCAACTGCTGGTCCCTAATTTATTTATTTTTTGTTATACAGTCTGTGTGCTCACTGGAGAAAGAAGTGAGATATTACCCCGGGATTGAGGAAGGGGGTGATATCTCCTCTATTCTTTAATGATTTTGGGCACGCACATGCACCTGGTGCATTTTTCAAGCCACCAGGTCTAGGATTTGAACCATGCAGTTGGTCGTGGGATCCAGCCACCTTAACTACCACACCACCTAGCTGTTCCAGCCTATTTTTGTATGTTTGATTACTTCTGATATAGTTATTGATATTTAAGGAAGTCATTTTGGTTTTTTCTCACTGGTGCTTAAGACTTTTTTTATATGTTTACACAATAGTATGTGACTTGGATTTTTTTCTTCTTGTGAGAGAGATGAGTGGGTAGAGAGGAAAAGGTGAGAGACAGAGTTTTTTGTGTGTTTTTTTTTTTTATTACCAGTGGGCTTGTACACTTGCTAGAGAGAGGGGAAGCCCTTTTCCCCATTGGGTCATGGCACAATTGTTTTTTCCTCCATATTTCTATCCCCTCAGGATTTTGGGCATGCACATACATATGCCCAATGTGTTTTACAAGCCACTGCGTTCAGAATTTGAACTGCAGTCAGCCACGTGGAATCTGGCTTTCCACGTAAAGCAGTTAACACCATTGCGCTATGGGGCTGACTGCCAATTATAAGAATATTTTACAGTGTCTCTGTGTCATAATTCTCCTGTACTAGCCTCCCAGATAGATAGGATTACAGGTGCCTGCAGCCAGGCTCAGTATATTCAGGTTGGCTCAGGAACTGATCCCTGGCCTCCCATGTGGCTTCCCAGCCAGTGTTTGGATTTCTGTGCACCATCTGTAGTGTACACCACTGCTGATGAGCGGGGTTGTTTTTAAATTTACTTTTGTTCCCAGTTTTTTGTGTTCTCTTTCAATATAGAAAAGGCAAGTTTCATACATCTTTATGAGCTAATAGGAGTTGGTGATGGTACATTTATTTATTTATTTTAAGAATTATTTTATTTTAACTTTTTTATTTATTTATTTTAATTTGACCAGAGAGGGGCAGAGTGAGAGAGAGAGCGAGAGGAAGCGAGAAAGCAAGCTGCCAGGTTTGGGACTTGAACCATGGTCAGCCATGTGGGAGTCCAGCGCTTTTATCCACCACGACACCTGCCGACCCCACATTTATTTTTTATTTATTTATTTTTAGAGGTTCTTGCCTTAGGGCACACGTGCTCGCAAGAGAGAGAGAGAGAGACAGACAGACACCACAGTGAGAGAGAAAATGAGAAATAACCTCTTAGGAGGGATGGCTACACCACAATCCCTTCTTCACTCTCCTCCTGGGTTCTTGGGCACACATGCACACAGGTCTGGCATGATTTTCAAGCCAATGGGTCCAGGACTCGAACTATGGTCAGCCATGTGGGAGTCTAGCAACCTAACTATTATGCTGTCTGCTGGTTCCAGTACACTTATTTTTAACTACCATGATCAAATTGGTTGTGAAACTCAGTTTGAATATAAAACAATGCTAGCTATTCCAAATAATTATTAGACATTTATGATTAATAGATATTGTGAATTTATAATGATTTGATAGTCAAAGGTAATAAAACCTTCAGTATTTTTCTTATACATTAAAATCCCTTGCATGTAAATTCTGGCTGCAGCAAAATTTAGAGAGAGATTTACAGTCAAGTGATAACATTATCAGAAACATCTTATAAAATTTTATCATTAATTGTTCTTTTTCTCTTTTCTTTTAGGTTAGCTATTATTTTCCTCTCAAAACTTTATGGAGATCATTTTTTGCTGCTTTAGTGGCTGCATTTGTTTTGAGATCCATCAATCCATTTGGTAATAGCCGTCTGGTTCTTTTTTATGTGGAGTATCATACACCATGGTACCTTTTTGAACTGTTTCCTTTTATTCTCCTTGGGGTATTTGGAGGGCTTTGGGGAGCCTTTTTTATCAGGGCAAATATTGCCTGGTGTCGCCGCCGCAAATCCACCAAATTTGGAAAGTATCCTGTTCTTGAAGTCATTATTGTTGCAGCCATTACTGCTGTGATAGCCTTCCCTAACCCCTACACCAGACTAAATACCAGTGAACTGATTAAAGAGCTTTTCACAGACTGTGGGCCCCTGGAATCCTCTTCTCTTTGTGACTACAGAAATGACATGAATGCCAGTAAAATTGTTGATGATATTCCCGATCGTCCAGCAGGCATTGGAGTATATTCAGCTATATGGCAGTTATGCTTAGCCCTCATATTTAAAATCATAATGACAGTATTCACTTTTGGTATCAAGGTAAGAGCTAACATGAGGTGATGTTTAAATAAACTTGGCATATTCAAAACTTGTCAAAGAGAAATGAAAATTTTATCTACAGATTGCTTTTCTAAATGTAGGTTGAGAAAATACTGTTCTTCTCTTTTGGGTTTAGTTTTAAATAATGAAAGAGATCATTCTATAGGATATATTGTTGAACATACAGCTTAAGGTAACTATTCATTTTGTTCTTGCTAAGTGGGTCAGTGATTTGGGAAGTGCTCAGCTGGGCATGTTTTGATTATGTTCTCTCAGGGTTATTATCACATATGGTTTGGGTTGGTCATCTCAGACTTCTTCATTTAGGTGCCTAGCACCTGCGCTGAGAAGATTCAGCCCACTGAGGCTAGAGTATCTGGGCTCTTGGGATATCTTTGTGCATATGTATGCTCACTCGCATGCGCGTGTGTGACTTTTCTGGCTAGTGACCTCAGGATAGTGTTTTTGTTTTTGTTTTTTTCTTCAACATGAGAGATGAACACAGAGACAGGCACCCCCATTGGAGTACTTTATGTCATGATCCATCCTGTTTTCAGCTGGCTCAGTGTACAGGCACTCACATGCCCAGGTGCATGGGGAGGTCCTAGGATGCTCACCCAGACCCTTTCCCATGTGCATATAGCCATGTTACTACTGTACCACCATCTGTCCCTGCACATGATAGCTAAAGGCTTCAAAAGCAAATGTCGGGCCAGTCCTGTAGTATATGATTGAATGTTGTGCATAGAGAGCCAAATCCAGTGTGACCAACCATGGTTTGAATCCTGGCATCAGTGGCTTAAAAAACAAACCAGGAGTGTGCATATGCATGCCCCAAATCCTGATAGGAGGGAGAAATCGAGTAAAAAAGATAATAGTGAGACCATGCCCATTGTGGCGTGCTTTGTCCCTCTTTAAAAAAAAGTCTGTCTTGCAAACACACAAGTAAGTTCTCTTTTCTTTTGTCCTCTATATTTAGTCCACTGGGTATCAAGGTTAAGTAATAGGAAAATCTTTAACTTTTATTCTTTTTTTCTAAGAAAAACAAGTTCAAGATGTTATTAAAACTCCTTTTTTTTTTTTTTTTGCAGTAAGTTGGTTTTCTATGATCCCAACTTCCTCACCACCAACTGAACCTACTGGGAAGCTGGGACCAATTGGCAGGATTTGTTTAAGTTCCACATTATTCTCAGCTCTGGCTGGAGAATCATAACTGAAGCATATTTTGATTCTTTCTGTTGTGTATCCCTTTAATAATCCAGATGCGTTCCATGTGCCATTGTTCTGTGCTCAGCCTTTTTCATGTCCAGAACAGTTGAGAGCATTTAATGAGAGCTGTAAATGATCTTAAGTGGTCTAATGTTTCTTTTATCCTCACTGAATTTAATAAACATTTTTCTCTTTTTAATTATATATATATATATATAAATCACTCAAAATATTGGGGAACTCCGATTAAGACTGCCTACTTGAACAATGACCACTTAAGAAAAATAGCGTATTTTTATCATTTGTAAATATGTAGGAAGATATAATCTTGGAGTATAGTGCTTCAAACTGAAACATTGGGTTTGTCAGAAAAGTCATGACACATTTTTGCATAGATAAAACAAAAAATATACATCATGATTTTTTTCTACAACTCAATAGTTTTATGAAAAATGCTTATTGTCCTTTTTCTTTTTTCATTTCATAATGAACTAATAAAAATTTTGCTAGTGACTGGCATATGTCCTTAGATCAAGTATAAGTAACTCCTGAGTTACTATATTTCTTCTTTACCCTAAGGAATGTGGTCTTTTGCTTTGTAACTGAATCCATGGAATATTTAAGGTACTGTTACAATAAACTACTGCTGTAGTTTTAGGATACTAGGATAGGTACATGTTTTTATTTATATGCCATATAAATAAAATACAAAAAGTGCTAGAAACAAATTCGTAGAATGTAAGTTCCCAGGCTATAAGCAGAGGATCTCTACCTCATTCAGAATTTTATTGTTGTTATAGGTACCCTCAGGCTTGTTCATCCCCAGCATGGCCATTGGAGCAATTGCAGGAAGAATTGTGGGGATCGCAGTGGAACAGCTGGCATACTATCATCACGACTGGTTCATCTTTAAGGAATGGTGTGAGGTTGGGGCTGACTGCATTACACCTGGCCTTTATGCCATGGTTGGTGCTGCTGCATGCTTAGGTAATGGAACTCCATCTGCCTGTGTGTAGGTGTTTGCAAGTCTGAGAGAGAAAAGCCTGAGGGAGGACTAGTTCATGAGTAGTTGGAAGAAAGGGAGAATACCAGACAGAGGGAGGGGATGTCTCAACACAGTTGAAAACAGTAGTAACGTTAAGGTGTTATCCAGTACTAGTTTTCATTTTACCATCTCAGAATATTTGTTAATAGAAAAATTTAATAGTTATGTGCATATTTGTAATATCTCATATGCTTTATGGTAGGTAGTATCTCAGTACAGCATAGGCTTAATCTTGTCTAAGGAGAGCTTTGTTTTTTTTTTTTTTTTTCCATTGTTAAGAATCTTGGCTTAATGACAACAACTGTGGCATCGTTCTTACCATTATAGCCAAATTTCAATATAGTTTTACTTAGGGTTGTGTAGTAATTTGTCAATAGACTTTATAAAATGTTTATTTACCAGCCCTCTACGCATGCACCTCTAAGGCATAGCGTTAACACATGAACAATGTGGGCTTGAACTATGTCGGTCCACTTATGTATAGATTTTTTTCAGTAAATACTATAAACGTATTTTCTATTATTATTATTTTTTTAATTTTTGCTATAGGGCATGTGTGCTCACTAGAGAGAGACAGAGTGTGAGAGACAAAGATGGAGAGGGAAAGTGAGAAATCACTTCTTAGGGAGGTGATGGCTATGCTGCAATGCCTTCCCTCCAGTCTCCTCTTGGGATTTTGGGTACATGTGCATACACATCTGGTGTGTTTTTTAAGCCACTAGGTCTGGACTCAAACCACGCAATTGGCTGTGTGTGATCCAGCCACTTTAACCATTGTGCCACCTGATGGCTCATGTATTTTCTCTTTACAATTTGCTTAATGATGCTTTTTTAAAAAAATCTAGCTTTATTATAATCATATGGTATGTAATACATATACAAAGATGTGTTAATCAACAGTTTATGTTATTCGGGCTGTCTATTAACAGATAACTAACAGTAGTTCACTTTTTGGGAAGTCAAAATTTATACACAGAATTTTAACTGTACAGGGGGTCAGTCTCCTAAATCTTATGTTGTTCCAGGGTCAGCTGTACTCATTTTAATGGAAAGTAAAGCAAAATACCTGTATTGGGTATTTAAGAGTCTATTTATTGTTTTTTTGGGGGAGCATGAAAATAGTTTCCCTTTGTCCATTAATATTTGGTTATAATATTTAACAGTAGGTTTTTTTTTTTTTTTACTTTGTTTTGTTTAAGAAATTTTTTTTTTTTAAGAGAGATTTTTGCTATAAGGTGTGTGTGCTCACTAGAAAGACAGAGACAGACAGACAGATAGAACACAAGAAATCACCCCCCTGCCAGGGGGATGGCCACGCCACAATCTCTTCTACTCTATTCTTCTCTCAGGATCTTGGGCACGCATGTACATGTAATGTGAGTTTAAGCCACTGGGTTCTGGAGTCGAATTGCAGTCAACTACATGAGAAACCAGTGATGTAACTATTACACCATCTGTTGTTCCCTGTTTAGCGAATCTTAATTATGTAATTATTAATTTTCAAAAGTATAATATCCAATTAAAATTAAAGACAGTCATTTTTACTAAAGTAGTAAGTATTTATTAAGCATCCACATTCTTTTTTTTTTTTTTTTGGAGAGGTTTTTGCGATAGGGTGCTTGCGCTCGCCAGACAGAGACAGACAGAAAGTAAGAAATCACCCCCCAGGGGGGATGGCCACGCCACAATCCCTTCTCCTCCATTCTCCTCTCGGGATCTTGGGCACTCATGCACACACGCCCGACGTGAGTTTTAAGCCACCGGGTCCGGGACGCGAACCTCAGTCGACTACGTGGGAGTCGAGTGACATAGCCATTATGCTAACTGCTGGTTCCCAGCATCCACATTCTTATTTAGCATTGTATTAGATACAATGAGTGATAAGGAAAGAAAACATAAAACATGGCCCAGCCTCAACTATAGTCAAGTTGGGGAGACAAGACCAACAGTGAGAAAATAACACTGCACAATGCACAGTGATTATCTACAGTGCTGACATCGAAGTATTATAAGAATTGAGGGAAAAGGAGCGGAAGTAGTTCAGGAAGTTGGCATCATGAACAGCATTTTAAAATATGAGTAGAATTTAAAGAAGAGAGGACTTTATTAAAGATTATGAGGTAAAGAAGACTAAGAAATTGGGATGGGAATACATTTTGCATTTAGGGGGCTTTGAGGAAACTGACTATAAGTAGATTATTTAGGGTACTTTGGGGGAAGTGAAGTTGGGCTGTTGAGAAAGAGCTGATTATGAAATATTAAGTTGTCGGAAAAATCATCACTTTTTTTATGCAAAAATATGTCATGACTTTTCTGACAAGCTAATAATACAAGGAACCTGATGTATGTCAAAATGAATTATATTTGGAATTGGTCAGATTTTTGGCAAAGTCTTGGCTTTGCCCCTTTTAAATTGCTAACTTTGAAAATGTTCCTTTATTTCATGTATTTTAAATTTTCTCATCTATAAAATTAAAATAATAGCTTTCTGGATTATATGAGATAAAATGCATGCAAAACTGTTAGCATAATGCCTGGCAAAATAAGTGATTAGTTAAAAAAAAAAAGAAAAAAGCCTTTGTAAACTGACTGGGACCTACATAGCATAGAGTTGTTACGTAATATTGGGTTATTGGAAAAGTCATGACACAGGAAAAATGTGTCATAACTTTTTTGATGACCTAATATATAGTAGGTTCTTTCTCCCTTCTATTTTTAGGTTAAAAAAACAAAAAGGAAGAGTTTAAGCTTAACACAGTGTGAGCTGGTAAGTCCTGGTAGGTTTCTGAGCAAAGGACCAACATAGTAAGAGCATTATTTAGAAAAGATTAACTTGGGAACATGGCTTATATAAATGAATTGAAGGTAATTGGGCCTGGAGTCAAGGAGGTTAAAAAAGAAATTGTATTTTTGTCAGCAGGTGGTATAATGGTTACATCACTGGACTCCCATGTAGTTGACCACAGTTCCAGTCTTAAACCCGCCAGCTTAAAACTCACACTGGGTGTGTATGCTTGCATGCCCAAAATCCCAAGAGGAGAATGGAGGAGAAGGGATTATCGTGTGGCCATCCTGCCTTGGGTGTGTGGGGGGGGTGATAGCTCACTTTCTGTCTCTCTGTTTCTCTCTGTCTCTCTGGAGAGTGCATGCACCCTATAGCGAAAATTTCTCAAAAAACAATTGTATTGAAATTAAGGAACAAATTTTCAAGGGCCTGAACTAGTTGGTAACAGTGAAAATGCTAAGAAAGAGACCCATGGATGACTATTTGCAGATTAAATCAGATAGGACTCGGTGATGATCTAGATGTTGCGATAATGTAAATGGATGAACCAAGAATGGCTCCCCAGGTTGTTAGGAAGAATGTGGTACCTAGTGTTGAAAGTCACAGAAGTTGGAACGATGATCTCTTTGAAGAGGAAAATGAGTTTGTTTAATTAACTTCTTTAAGTGTGATGGTTTCTGTGACTGTAAATCAGTCACAGAAGTTTTTTTACACTGCAAAAGACAACAGTAAGATACCGTACATGTAATTTGAGACATGGGACAAAGCTAGTAGTAAATTGAGAGATGTAGATTAGGGAGACATAACCATAGAGATGATAATTGAGAATGATGATTTTAGTAAATGAATAGATGAGTTTTCTATGGGGGATATTAGCACAAGGAATCAAACTATTTTACTCATTTGAAGAGTTTTAGGGAGAGGAATTTATTTATTTTTCTTTCTTTTTTTAGACAAGTTTTTACTGTAGGGTGCACGTGCTCACTGGAGAGACAGAGAGAGACAGAAGGTGAGAAATCACCCCCCAGAGGGGTTGGCCATGCCACAATCCCTTCTCTTCCATTTTCCTCTTGGTATTTTGGGCATGCACGCACATGTGCCCAGCATGAATTTTAAGCTGCCAGGTCCAGGACTTGACATCAGTTGACTACGTGGGAATCCAGTGACATAACCATTATGCCATCTGCTGGTCCCGGGAGAGGACTTTATTAAATTAATATTCTACCTGTATGACAGTTTAATTTGTAAACCAGTAGCAAAAAATATAGCCTTCCCCAAATTCCTTAAAAACTAATAATAATCCCTTATCATGGTGAAATAATGTCTTTGCTCCAGCAATAAACTATAATGACAAATTTGTTTCAGTTGGTCACTTGGATTGTTTTTATAGGAGGTAAACAGTTGTTAAAATATTATAGTCTTCTGTGTTATAAATAAAGAATACTGGTGTTTTTCTAGAAGTCAGTAGTATTAATGGTTATTGTGCTAAGGAGTAGTATTTGATGATGATGCTTTTCACTAAGTTGTATTTACAATTTCAAGTTCAACCGTCTATGCAGAAAGTTCTAATAACATATGAGGAGGATCCTGTCCTTCCTGACCAGTGGTGCTTATTTTTTTCAGGTGGTGTGACAAGGATGACTGTCTCCCTGGTGGTTATTGTTTTTGAGCTTACTGGAGGTTTGGAATATATTGTTCCCCTTATGGCTGCAGTGATGACCAGTAAATGGGTTGGCGATGCCTTTGGTAGGGAAGGCATTTATGAAGCGCACATCCGGTTAAATGGATACCCTTTCTTGGACGCAAAAGAGGAATTCACTCATACCACTCTGGCTGCTGACGTCATGAGACCTCGAAGGAACGATCCCCCTTTAGCTGTCCTGACACAGGACAATATGACAGTGGATGATATAGAAAACATGATAAACGAAACCAGCTACAATGGCTTTCCTGTTATAATGTCAAAGGAATCTCAGAGATTAGTGGGATTTGCCCTCCGAAGAGACTTGACGATTGCAATAGGTATCCTTCTTTTTTTGTTTTGTTTTAATGCTTTTCTCCATTGATTACATGCACTTGCTAGAAAGAAACAGAAAGAGACAGTGAGAGTAAAAGTGAGATCATCATCCCTTCTCCATTCTCATTCTGGGATTTGGGGTATGCACACACACATGCCTAGTATGATTTTCAAGCCCCTAGGTCTGGGAGTTGAACTATGGTCAGCTGTGGGATCCAGCACCTTAACCACAATGCCACCTGTTAGTGCCCCCCTCTTAAAAAATGTATGTATGTATACACACACACACACACACACACACACACACACACACACACAAGATTTCTGGAAGAAAGGAAAGTAGTAAAATATAATTGATTTTATGTAGGATCAAGGAATATTACTTTATTCCTTAAATGTTCTCTAGTGACCACCCCTGTAGTCTAGTGGTTAAGGGAGCTGGATCCCACATGGCTGGCTATGCAGTTCAAATCCCAGCCCCTGGGACCAGCATTTAGTGTAATGGCTATGTTGCTGGACTACCACGTAGTCGACCGCGGTTCGGACCCGGTGGCTTAAACTCACGCCGGGCATGTGTACGTGCGTGCCCAAGATCCTGAGCGGAGAATGGAGGAGAAGGGATTGCGGTGTGGCCAGGGTGATTTCTCACTTTCTGTCTCTCTGTCTCTCTCTGTCTGTCTGGCAAGTGCACGTGCCCTAAGCAAAAACCTCTCCAAAAAAAAAAAAAAAAAAAATCCCAGCACTAGTGCCTAAAAAACATGCTGGACACATGTGCATGCATGCCCAAATTCCCAGTAGGTTAGAAAAGTGGAAAAGGGATTGCAGTGTGACCATTCCCCGTTGAGTGTGCAGTAAAACTTGTACATTAATTTGATGTTTTGACCTATGTGAAATTGTAGAATGATTAATGATTAATATCACCTCACATACCTTTTTATGTGTGTGTAAGACTGTTTAAAATCCATTCATAACAATTTTCAAATAACATGAAAGAATAAAAGTGATATTCTTGACTGAGCCACTGTGGTGCAGCAGTAATGCTAGCACCCTGCATAGTTCTTTTAACTCTAATACTAGTGTTATGAGTTACTTACATACCCCCAATATAATGTACTAATTTGACTGTCATTTTTTATGATAACCAAACTTAAGTGGCATAGAAAATTCTACACTTTTTGTTTCCCCCTTCATGCTTTATAGTACTAATGCCACACTTTTTTTTTTTTTTTTTAATTTGCTAGAGGGTGTGTATGCTTGCAGACAAGAGACAGAGATGGAAAGCAAGGAAGTCCCCCCCTCTCTCCACCATGAAGAATGGTCACACGGCAATCCCTTTTACTGCATTTCTCCTTTCAGGATTTTGAGCAAGCATACACATTTGCCTGGTGTTTTTTTCAGGCTGCCAGGTTTGGGACTTGAACTGTGCCCTTGGGCCACACAGGATCCAGCAGCCTTAACTGACACACCACAGCTGGCCCTGATGTCAAACTGTTTTGTGTGTGTGTCCATTAATGATACATGATAATAGCATATACACTCTATATTCAGTTAGACACAAGTCGTTAGCCAGATTCCTCTCATGAGCTAAAAGCAATCTAACAAGCATTTGTCAAAAAACGTTTGTCAGTTGCTAATGGACCTTCTTTTCCATGCCATGAACATGCTTTTAAGGTGATGTAGTCAGTACTGATCATTAATACTTCAGTTAATGCCATCCTACTTGAATGTGTTACAACACAGTTAAGTATGGTTTTAGTGGCTGGGAGGAGTAAAAACATTATAATATTTATGAACAACAACATCTGCTTCTCAGTTTAGGAATGATACTTATTATTTTTGGCTTAGATATTTTTCTACTAGAATTCCTATTCCAAGTAGCTTAACTAGTAACAAATACCACATTCCCTCAATGTTTTGAATAATATTAACTTAAAATAGAAACAAAGCTGGATGACTTTTATGTTGCCCTCTTCCTGTGGTCCCTGTCCTTCTTTCCATCTTTGCCACTCTTTTCTAGCACATTCAGTGCTGGAAGTAGGCAGCAGGTCAGAAGCACTTAAAGGAGAGCACACTGGAGAGAAGAAGTTACCAGAGCCTTTACAAATAAAACTACCCAAAAGATCAGTCTTTGTTCATTATGTGCATAATTGTAGTTTCAGCCCATCTGCAGTGCTCATGATTCATCTAGAAAATTACACCGTAATAGCAGAGACGAGAAAGAACCAGCTAATTCACGGGGTAGAATGCACAGCATAGTCAAAGCAAGATGAAGAGAGTCGCGTTACTTCCTTTACTCCTACTGCATAGCCTTTGTTCACCAGTGGATCCGCTGCTCTCATAATCTGTACAGATTTTTATATCCCATACTCAAAACATGCTTCTTTGTCCCGCAGAGTGAGAAAACAGCATCAGCCCCAGTAAATTCTGCAATGATATAACTAACAGAAGTATTTTATTTACAACAAGATGATCGTTATTAGTGGAATCTAATTCAGTTAAATGTAAGAAATTTCTAGGTGGTGTTTCAGTTGATTCTTTTCTTGGTTAAGGAAAAGATAAGCAAAAGTGAAGGGACTAAAAGTAATAGGATGTATTTGTTTTTTAATCTCTGAATAAATAAGTTGCCCATAAAGAAACAAACCTATTGGTTTACACTTTTTTATCTTCTCTATCTCTTTTCAGAAAGTGCCAGAAAAAAACAAGAAGGTATCGTCGGCAGTTCTCGGGTGTGTTTTGCACAGCACACCCCATCGCTTCCAGCAGAGTCTCCTAGGCCATTAAAGCTTCGAAGCATTCTTGACATGAGCCCTTTCACCGTGACAGACCACACCCCAATGGAGATTGTGGTGGATATTTTCCGAAAGCTGGGTCTGAGGCAGTGCCTTGTAACTCACAATGGGTAAGTTTGGTACCACAGAAGTCAGTTCACTTACCAGAATTTACTGTCCTTTTTGGTAAAATCTGTATATTGTTATTAGGGGAGAATGTGAGTCAGCTCCCTAGTGGGAGGCCCTGTCATTTAGTGTGGTTATAAATGTAGGATCAGTCAGTCAAGTTTCATACATACTAAAGACTCAGAAGAATGATAACTGCCCCCTCTTTGCCAGAACATAAAGGAGTATTGTCAAGAGTACTTCAAAGTTGGAGAAGAGGTGCTAGAAGCTCTAGAACATGAACAGCATGTCAAGCTTAGAGGAATAAGCTTCCTTTGCTAGAGGAATAGTGGACCTAACCTGTGTGGAATACTGTAAAAACCTGTTTTTGTGTGTGGGTGTGTGCACAAGTATTTCATTCTGAGTATATAGTATATCAATTTCTAGTGGAAAACAACTTCTTAGGTATTTCACTGTTTACTCTTTTAGCTAATACTTTGTCACATAATGAAGAAAATAACACATAATTAAATGAAATCTATTAATTTGCTAAAAATCTTCAACCAGTGTTGTTTCCTCTTGTCTACCTTTTCCATTTATAAATCTTTTACATATACTGCTAACAAAAAATTAATACTCAGGTATTTTAAATTCTGCAGTGATATAATGCATTGGGCCAGCCAGTGAGTGATATGTTGATTAACATGACTGGATCCTACATGACCAGTTATGCAGTTTGAGGGATGTGCCGGGTGCACATGCCTGCATGCCCAAAATCTAAAGAGGAGAGAGAGAGAGAAGAACGGATTGTGGTGTGACCATGTCCTGTAAGGGATGATTTCTCTCTTTCCCAAAAAAAATCTGTCTCTCTTTCTCTCTGGTGAGCACACATGCCTGTGGCAAAAATTTTAAAATAAAATGTATCCATCGATAACTTATTTTTCTGCTTTTTACACAAAATACCCATGTTCCTCCCTGATAGGAGTAGAAGAAAGTGACAGATGTCAAAGGAGTTGAGGAGACTCACTACACAGCATGTTGTGGCAAGCACTTATGCTTCATCCCCACTGCTCTCCTCCTGGATCCAGGACCTGTTTCCCCACCCATTCTTTTAGGCCTCTTCCATTATATTATGTTCCTTATTGAAATTCTTTAGAACATTGTTTTATCTGAAAGTACATAATAGGAAGACTAGGGAGGAGAAAGAAAAGGTATTCTTGAGTTATGCATAAACTGGATGGTTAGCCTGAACTGTGTGAAGCTGGTTGAAGCACTACACACTTAGAGAATCACAGCAGGTGTTTTCTCTCTTTCATTGCCAGAGGGCACATACACTCACCAGAGGAAAGACTGAGAAGGAGAAAGCACTTCCCAATGGCATGTGGTCGTGCTGCAGTCCCTTCTTCTGAAAATCCTCTCTCAGGTCAGGATTTGGGGCATCCATGCACACGCACCTGGTGTGTCTTTTAAGCTTCCTGGATGGGGATTCAAACTGCAGTTGGTCATGTGGGATCAGGATCCCTTGACCACTAGGCTATGGGGCTGCCCCTTATAACGTTTACAAAACATATGGATGACAGAACACATCCATTTGCTAGTCCTTGAGTATTTGTAGTTATTAAATGGCTTAGTTGGAACCTAACCTGAGTTGTTATAAACCGTCCTCAGTGACTGGCCTGGTCCTCTATGTACACCACTCCTCATGTAACAAGCAGCCTCACAGCCTCTCTACCACTGGCCAGCACAGGAACCCCCTTTCGCAGTCCCTGTGAGTCTCGGAAATCCCCTTTGTCTCCTCTCTGTAGTCGATCAGTATTCACTACAGGAAGTGTTTGCAGTCATGCAAACTACATATTTTGTTTATAAATTTGTGTTATTATGCATATTAGAATTCAAAATAAATAAAAATAATTATGCTGGATTTATTGCTTTGTCAGAAAAGTCATAATGTGTTTCCCATGCAAAAGATGCATCATGACTTTTCTAATGGTGGTATGTTGTGCTGTGATGTGTCTTTTCACTTTCTGGCACTTACGCTTTTTGTGTGGGTGAGATTACATTATTCTAGTGTGATGTCATGTGACATCTATTGAAAAATATATCCCCTGTGGTACCACAGCACACCACAAGACATCTTCCTTTAAGTTTCTCCCTAGGGACTAGCAAATGGTGTAATGGTTATGCCGCTGGACTCCTGCATAGTTGACTGCAGTTCAAATCCCAGACTAAGTGGCTTAAAACTCAAACTGGGCGCAGGTGCATACATGCCCAAAATCCCAAAGGGAGGATGGAAGAGAGCGATTGTGGTGTGGTCACTCTCCCCCCCCGGGGGGGGGGTGGTGGTGGTGATTTCTCACTTTCTGTCTCTGTCTCTCCCTGTCTCTCCGGAGAGCACACACACCCTATAACACAAATTTCCCTTAAAAAAAAGTTTCTCCCTTATGCACCAGTTCACTTAAGAACCTAGTTGTAGGAATCAAAAATGAGAAATGCCTGTACTAACAAATATGGATGTTACTCTCTAGGTTATGACTGTGACCACAAAGCTGCTACATGAGCTTTGCTGATTGATTAATTCCTAGGTTTGGTAGCATAGATATTAGAATAGAAGAAGTTTAAAAGAAAGTATAAAAATAACAAAGTAGGGAGAGAGGTGGATTGCTAATTAAAATTTTACCTAATGCTATCTGTTTATATGAAAGTGTGTATATGAGGAGGATTTTTTCTTAAGGGAATCTGTTTGATTTTTTTGGTGATATTTTATTATTTCTTTCCTTGTAGGAAAATAAATTGATAAGTAGGGTAAGAAGAGAGATCAACTGGGGAGATGGCATTTGGGATTTTATTTCTTTTAATTACATAAGGAGGAAGTAGGGTTCTATTTTCACTTAAAGTTAAATGATTTAAAAACAAAAATCATGTCTTCTCGTTTTTAGTGAAGAGTATGGAATTATGGATAGCTGTTAATATTTCATAGTTTATATTGGGTTCTTACAGGTGGAAAATAGTTATTGAGGGAAGAGAGAAACAGCAAATCTAGAAACTTGGATACCAGGAGAAAAAGAGTAGATAAGGGGAAATGTCTATAAATTATAAAGATATAAATTAGTTATAATTTCCTACATTAAAAAAAATGCTATAGGTCATATGTGCTCGCCATAGAGATTCAGAAAGAGACAGAAAGCATCCCCCTAGGAAGGAGGGCCACTCCACAGTCCCTTTTCCATTCTCCTCTCAGAATTTTGGGCATGTACACACTTGCATCCAGTATGTTTTTTCAAGCCTCTGGGTGGGTCCAGGACTTGAACCACAGTTTGCCTTAACCACCATGCCACCAGCTGGCCCCTCACAATTTTTTTAATGTGGTAAAATTTCTTTTTTTTTTTTTCGGGAGGTTTTCGCTATAGGGCGCGTGCGCTCACCAGACAGACAGTGAGAGACAGAGAGACAGAAAGTGAGAAATCACCCCTCAGGGGGGATGGTCACGCCACAATCCCTTCTCCTCCATTCTCCTCTCGGGATCTTGGGCACGCACGCACACGCGCCCGGTGTGAGTTCTAAGCCACCGGGTCCGGGATGCGAACCGCGATCGACTACGTGGGAATCCAGCGACATAGCCATTAAGCTAACTGCTGGTTCCCATGGTAAAATTTCTTAAAAGCTTTTAGTCTTGTGGAGCTAGCAGGATGTTAATTAATAGGATTTACTTGAAGTTTTGTGACTATACTGTTAAAATTTCTTTACTATAAACTTCTCAGAACTTTAAAAAATGGTTATATTCCTTGATTCCCAGATAAGGGTAATAAGGACACATCATTTTCCAAACTTACCTGAAAACGCAGCCATTTTTTTTGTTGTTATTGGGAGAAAGGGGAAAGAATTCATGAGACTGATATTTCTTAGAATATACTTTGAGAAAACTGAATTATGCACTGTTAATACTTTCATCATTACTTGTTAACCCAAAAGCAAACAGATTATTCTCTATGCAAGTCAGTTTTGCATTGATTCTCTCTCCTCCCCCTAAAATCAAGTAGCACTGAATCTAGCCCTATTAAATCACTCTTCTCCAGTAACTAAAGAAAACTGTGTGTATTTCTCCCTTTTTAGGGCTATTACTTAGTAAATATAGAGATTACTTTGTAAATCTCTGAATTTACCACTAGATCCTTCTAAATGTAATTTTTCTTATTGTGTATCTTGTGATTTGATACAGTTTACTTGTATAGATGATATTAACTGAAATGAATCATTTTAAATAATTTAAAAAGCATGTATAAGAATTAAACTAGTGGGACCAGCAGTTAGCGTAATGGCTATGTCGCTGGACTCCCACGTAGTCGACCGCAGTTCGCGTCCTGGACCCGGTGGCTTAAAACCCACGCCGGGCGCATGTGCGTGCGTGCCCAAGATCCCGAGAGGAGAATGGAGGAGAAGGGATTGCGGCGTGGCCATCCCCTCTGGGGGGTGATTTCTCACTTTCTGTCTATCTCTCTCTGTCTGTCTGGCGAGCACACGCACCCTATAGTGAAAAACATCTCAAAAAAAAAAAAAAAGAATTAAACTAGTATTATTGTATTTAATTCATTGCCAAGATCTTCACATTTCTCAACTGTGACTATAAAATCAAATGACTTGGCAGCTTTTTAACTTCTAACATTTAGTCAATGAAGAGCATCTGTTGAGTGATTGAATGTTCAGTTTATATACTAGTGTAATTTCTCTTTTTTCAGAGACAGATTTGTGCATAGGGCATGTGCACTTGCTGGAGAGACAGAGACAGAGAGACGGAAAATGAGAAACCACCTCCCAGGGGGATGGCCACATCGCAGTCCCTTCTGTATTCACCTCCTGGGATTTTGGTCATGCACACACATGCATCCAGCGTGAGTTTTAAGCCCCAGGTCCAGAACTCGAACAGCAGTCAACTACATGAGAGTCGAGCAATGTAACCATTATGCCATCTACTGGTCTTGTTATTTCTGAGGTTTTTCAGAGGCAAAGTTTCTCCTATGCACTGAAAACTGTCCAATTTATCCTTATGCTTAAGGATTAATATGTTGTTTCAAAAAATTTACGAGGAAACTTGAGCACAGAGCCTATCTCTGCCTTTTCCTTCTTCTTGACTGCCCCTTCTCCACCTCCAGCCATCATCTAAGGTAATTATAAGTTTACTATCCTTAATCTGAAAATCTGAAATGCTCCAATTTCCAGAACTTTTTGAGAACCAACAAGATGCCAAAAGTGAGGAACCCCAGACCTCCTATGATGGGTTACCATTAAAAACTGTAATAGAAAAAAGACTATAAAAAATTACCTTTGGGGGGACCAGCAGTTAGTATAATGGCTATGTCGCTGGACTTCTACGTTGTCGAACGTGGTTCGAGTCCTGGACCCGGTGGCTTAAACTTACACTGGTTGCTTGTGCGTATGTGCCCAAGATCCCAAGAGGAGAATGGAGGAGAAGGGATTGCGGCGTGGCCATACCCCCTGGGGGGGTGATGTGGCGTGGCCATACCCCCTGGGGGGGTGATGTGGCGTGGCCATACCCCCTGGGGGGGGTGATTTCTCACTTTCTGTCTCTCTGTCTGTCTCTGTCTGGCAAGCGCACAAACCCTATAGCAAAAACCTCTCAAAAAAAAAAAATTACCTTTGGGCTATATGTATAAGGTGTATATGAAACATAAATGAATTTCAGATATAGGCTTGGGTCTCATCCCCAACATTCAAAATCCAACACTTTTGGTCCTAGACATTTTAGGATATGGAATATTCAACCTGTGTTTTATAATGGATACATTCCTAGGACAAGACTTCTTCAAATACCCTGGTGACATTCTTCAAGAAGTCAGAATGTTTGAAGGCAGTTTAACAAGAAAATTGACTTAAACATATCACCAAGGAAATGTTCAGTTACTCTGTAGTGCATTTTGGACATGCTTCCAGAATTGGAAGATTAAAGTATTTTTTGTAAGATTTACTTTTATTGTTTATATTACCACATATTGCATTTGGATTCATTTATTTCCATTATAAAACTAAAAACTAGAATTTATTTTAATAATTAAAAAGTTTAACTTAGTTTCAAATATCTTCATTATGAGAATTTAAGTTCATTACCTTACTTAATGTGCTAGTATTAACTGAGAAAAGTCATTACTTTAAAAAATAATGTAGGAAGTCAGTCATTCATGTTGACCCCTAATCATAAATCTGTTCTATTCGTTTAAGAAGTGGCATTCACAGTTTCTGAAATTTAGGGAATGTTTCTTTCTTTTGGTTGGCATTATTTATTTGACACGTTCCTTTTCATTTTAATTCCAAATAATAGTAAAATCCAAAGGATGTCTTAAGATTCCCCTCGGCCAGTAAGGCTAAGGCTTTTCCTACCTTTTCACTGCTGCGGTAGATCCAAATAACAGCTGCTGTGTTGTGACAGCTTAGAAGTTAGAGAAATATTTTCATCTAAAGAAAGAACACTGAAAATGAAACTCTAAATTTTAGACATTTTTAGCCGTGTATCAGTATTGTTTCTTTTGTACTTTTCTTTACAGTTCTTCATTCTGAACTTTTATAATTTTGAGTTTTAATTGAACAAGGAAAACAATCCATTCTTTAAGAATAGCATTGTATCACTGAAAAGTCAGTAGAATTTATGCAAACGCAATCTAAAAGTTTAAATCACTTTTGTTTTTATTTTTCTAAAGTTCATGACAAGCATTCTTATGGTTTATGTTTTTAATTTATTTATTTTTGTTCTTTCTTTATCATTATGATTCAAACCTCTTTTAATTTGATTTCTCACACAGTTATTAGCATAATAATCTGTTTCAGGATTGTCTTGGGGATCATCACAAAGAAGAATATATTAGAGCATCTCGAGCAACTAAAGCAGCACGTCGAGCCCTTGGTGATTAGATATATCAGATCTCCTTATTAGACACCTTAGAAGTCAGGAAGCATGACACTTGTGAACTGTTCAGTTCTCTGTCCCAGTTATCTGCTGAACAAAAAATCCTATGATGCTGCCAATCACTATTGTATCTGATTAAAAAATACATATATCTGTGAGATAAATTTAGATTTGTATAAAACTCCATTTGTAGAAAGCAAAAGGTAACGGCTTTCATCAAAGTCATTAGTTAACAAATTTAAGAATTCTAAACAGTTTGGTAGTTGAATGAGTTAACACTATTGGACATCCATAAAGTGAGCACGTGACAAATCTGTCTACCTAGTGGATCTGCGAGTCTCAGAGGACTCCTGACAAGTTGAAAATGTCTGCCCTATCACCCAACCCACCCTACCTCCCCTCCTTTTTTTAAAATGTATTCTAGTCTATGATAGTCTTGTGGTAAATCTAAGCTCCTAAGTGATTTTAAATGAGCTTAGGAATTAGAATTCCTGACAGTTAAGTAGATTTTTTTCATGGGCACATCAAAATGTAATGTATATATACAACATTTGTGATCATGACATTGGTCTTTTTTTTTTTTTTGCCATACCTTGCATACTTTCTAATAATGTGTGTCCTGTCATCTCATTAGTGAATTGTACCTCGATTATATGTGTGCCCCTTTTGTATGATGTTTCTAGAATGCTGTAAGCAGCTTTTAGGGGTTAAATGCATTTGTTTTAACTGGCTTTCTGTCCTTGTGATTTCATGACTGCAGATAGTTTTGAATTATCATATAACATAAAAATTGTCTGGCTTTAGCAATTAGTACCTGAAATTATTTTGCCCTGCAATTGTCATTACCTATATGAAGCTTGTCCCAGTTTGCTTTACATACCCAACTGATTATGTATTCCTTTTGTATGCTAATATTTCACAAGTGTTTCATGCATCCTTTTTTTTTTTCCTAAAAACAAAACAAAACAAACCTACTAACCAGAATAATAATAGTAGCTACTCATTCATTCTGCTTTCTGCTTCACCTGTTATCTTTTAGGACTGCTTCTTGATTTTTCACCTGTCTTTTAATGTAAGCATTAACAACTAAGACTTTCATAAAAGCACTGTATCTTTTTTGGCCAAAATCAAAAAAGGAAAACCACTGATGTACTAGAAACTTGGCTTGTCTCAAAGATTTATTCTTGGGGTTCTGAAGTTTGGGATTGTAGTTCTGTGTTGACCACTTTATATGCATTTTATCTCAATTGTATGTGCTTTCATGAAGATTTTGCATACAACTGGGCAATCCTTGATCTTTTTTTTTTGCAATTAAATTTGATTAAACAAAAAAGGATATTTGTTCATCAGACATTTTACTGCTTTCTTGATGTGATGGGAATGAATTTTCCTCCTCTAATGGGCTCAGTATCATTTCCTGTTCATATACCCTCCCATTTTTTGTTGCTGTTTTTGTTGGCATATTTTAATCAAAATGTTCTGCTTCAGTGAGGCATGCAATTCCCAGAGTCTCAGTGGAGAGGACATCATACTATTAGTGACCATAATACTTTTTATATCAAAGGATGGTTGCTGGATAGTTTTATTATCTTTACCAATAGAATACCTTTTTGAAAATAAAAAATCAGGCTGCTTGCTTTGCTCTGTCCCTATCAACGAAAAGGATTTAGCATAAAATTTAGCTTCTCTTTTTCTTTAATCTTAATAGCAATCTTCCCCTTCTTCCTTTCAGACGCCTCCTTGGCATTATAACAAAAAAAGATATCCTCCGTCATATGGCCCAGACGGCAAACCAAGACCCCGCTTCAATAATGTTCAACTGAATTCTGTAGATGAGGAGAGAGAGGAAACAGAAGAGGAAGTTCATTTGTTGAATAGCACAACTCTTTAACCTGAGGGAGTCGACTACTTTTTTCCTTCTTTAAAAAAAAAAAAGTAAAGAAAATGTAAAAGCCAGGTTTTTGCAACGTGGTTTGCAAATAATGCTGGTGGAATGGAGGAGTTGTGTGGGGAGGGAAAAGAGAGAGAGAAGTGAAGGAGAGATATTTTTCCCATCTGAGAACAGCAAATCAACTCCTGTTGTTCTGCACTGGATGCATTCATCTGAGGACGTGCTGTGATAGTGCAGGCCTGAGCCACGACGGAATGACACTGGAGTCCTTGACATCTGGCCAGTTACTCCAACATCGCAGAGACGCACTATCAGTCCCCATTTCTGGAGGGATTACTTTGAATTGAGCCATCTATAAGACTGTGAGGTTTTGCCCTTTTTTTATCAAAACTGTTCTGTTTAATTCATGAATTGTATAGTTAAGCATTACCTTTCTACATTCCAGAAGACCTTTTATTTCTTTCTCTCTCTCTCTCTCCTGACCTGTAACAAAGCCTCTTTGAATTGTTGTATCATTTTGAAGCAGTCCTTTCTCATATTGAGATGTACTGTGATTTTACTGAGGTTTCATCACAAGAAGGGAATGTTTCTTGTGCCATTAACCATGTAGTTTGTACTACCAATAACTGGAACAGTGCACACGCACCACAACAAAGGCGGATCAAACAGGTAAAATCTCAAACGAAGCATGAATGAAATCTCTCAGCTTGTGTGCTGTGTGGTTCAGAATCAGAAACAATGAAACTTGACTTTAACGGATAAACAGTTTTCTTTGTTTTTTTTTTTCCTCTCAGACTTTATGGATAATGTGACCTGGTCTTATGCAAATTTTCTATTTCTAAAACTACTATGATATACAAGTGCTGTTCAGCGTAATTAAACAAAATGCTGCTGCTTTGATGGTAAAGAGAAGGAAGTATTCTGTTTAGCTGTACCTGGTATTAATTGCATGTTAAAACTGGAATTTTTTTTTCTTGAAATTAGATCATTCATTCTTTTCTTTCCTCAAGATATTTCACGGCTGACACTGGAGAAGAAATGTAATTCATAACTTGCACTAAATGTATATTTCTTTTCTTAAAAATTTACCATTCTTATTTATATTTTTATGGATTAAAATTTATAAAATACAGATAAGTTAATATCGCACTTAAATAATTTTACCTTTTTAATGTGATTTTTATAGACTAATTCAGACTTACAAATATGGAGATATGAACAAAGTTTACAATGGGAACAAGGGTTTAAAAAGAGGTGTGGTTACTTCTCTATGATCTAGTGTGTACATAAACCTTTTCCGGATCTTTCACTGCCATCTCCTGGATTACGTCTTCTGACCTGTCCATTTTGACCTGTTAACTGGAAAGGTGAAACACTACAAATTACTTTGTAGATTAAAGCCAAAAGTTAAATAGTGTTAACCTTTGTAAAAAAATCAAACAAGAAAAAAATGAAAATAACGAATTGCAAAGGTAGTAAATTTTAATGTGAACACAATCTTTGAATCTTGGGATAGGTCATGTCCTTATTTAAAGTGTTCTGTAATGGTTTGAATTATCTATAAGCATATATTCTTGAAGAATGAGCTAAAATGAACTGGAATGTGTAGGCCTTTTGATTTTGGAAATGTCTGATTTAATCATGATCTTAGTTCACAATTGGCAAAAGACAGTTTAGTCAAAAGACTGACCTAAATATTCTGTGATTATGAATTTTTGATAGGAAAATTAAATTTTGCAGACAGACATTTTCTGAAACACAACTGACGATGAACCATTTTTACATTATGGAAGTGATTTTTCACTTCTGAGCTCTTAATACTAATATACCTGTAAGATCCAAAAGACTTATAAGATCATGAAGCCATATTTAAATGATTCAAAGTTGAGCAAACTTTTGGGAATTTTGTGGAGCATTCTTAGCTGTACTGTCTGCCTAAATTAGTGATTTTGTTCTCTTTATTTCCCTCTTTGGCCGATTTCAAATTTTCATCACAGCCCCCTCAAAGTTTTTTTTTTTTTTTTTTTTTTTGCCATTCACAATGAATCATTTCTAAGTGATAGTTCTCTACATCTCCCACTTGTTCTAAGTGTATTCACAATGTGTGAGGTGCTACTAGAGTGTTAACTCATCAGTGTGGCTATTAGCTTAGTAGCCTTTCAAGAAGAAATGAGTGTCTTTCCAGATAGCTTCATACATGAAATTTCACATGGATTTTCTTTTCCACAAATCCCTTTTTGACTTCTGGTCCTACTCTCATCTTGCCTCAGACTGACATTTCAGGGTGGATATTAGAAATTAATTTTCTTCATTGGCTTTTTCTATCCCTGGTGTCTTACTGCTGAAGTAAGGAAAAGGAAAAGTGCCGTATTTTTAATGCATTCGATGGTTTTCTTTGATTTAACTGTTCCATTTTTCTTTTTAATGCATTGAAGTGTGTCTGCTTCTCAACCAAACGATGAAATACTGGAGACTATGAAATATATGTGCCTGGCTAATTGACAAATTAATTGACCAATATAATAATGTAGCGCCTTATTTGAGTACCCTTATTGAGAAGGTATGATGAGAATGGGCAAGGTGTCAGCATCTCTTATTAATAATTGTTTTCAGTTTTGGTTCATGAAGAATGCTTAGTTCGTTAATCTGTGATGTTGCCTAGAGCTGTATTTATCTGTTTTTATTTATACTAGTGTAGTAAAGCTGCGTATCATTACAGTAAAAATGGTTACTGTAATGAGTTAATCAGAAAATCTATTAAAATCTATATGACAATGTGTGGTTTGGCCTCTAATTATATCTGCATCAGTTCTCCCTTTTTACTGCTGCCCTGTGCAGTGTAGGCCAATATGGCTCACACATGCAGCCTCAAAGGGGTAACAATTACAACATCTCCCAGGTTACCAAACCATTTCTATACTTTGCATGTAAGGAGCAACAGTAAAGTAGATGCCAAATTAACCACCAGGATGGGGACAGCAGTTGGCATAATGGCTATGTCGCTGGACTCCCATGTAGTTGACCATGCTTCGAGTCCTGGACCCAGTGGCTTAAACTCACGCCGGGTGCATGTGTGTGTATGCATGCCCAAGATCCCGAGAGGAAAATGGAGAAGGGATTGTGGCGTGACAATCCCCCCTGGGGGATGATTTCTTGCTGTTTCTCTGTCTTTCTGGTGAGCACACATGCCTTATAGCAAAAACCTCTCAAAAAAAAAAAAAAACCAGCAGGATGTAGACTTTGAACAATAGTCTAGAATACTTTTGTTAAGTGAAAGTTGCAGGTATACAGAAAGGTTTCAGTTTATTTTTAAATTTTTTTTTATTAAAGTATGTTATTTGCGTAAGGAAAACATAGGTAAATGATTTAAATGTTTTTAAAGAATTTTCTTAGAAGTTTGTTAATAGAACTAAAGTAGGTGATGAGTAACATTTGAATAAGATTTCATTAAGTCTTTTAATAGTCAACATTTAATGAAAAGGAAAACAAAAAGTCCAGGGTAGAGAAAATTGTTTCAAGAAAAGAAAAATGCTGTGGAACCAGCAGGTGGTATAACAGTGCTGGACTCCCACATGACTGATTGCAGTTCAAGTCTTGGACCCAGCAACTTGAAACTCACCCTGGGTGCATGTGCATATGTACCCCAAATCCCAAGAGAACGGAAAAGGGATTGTAGCATGGCCACCTCTCTTGGGGTAGGGGGTGATTTCTTACTTTCTGTCACCAACGCTCACTGTAGCAATACTCAAAAAAAAAAAAAAAAAAAAAAAGAGAAAAATGTTATATACATATGTCCTGAGACAGGAACGTTCCAGGCAGGTTCAGGAATACCAAATGGGCCACAGTGGCAGAGATGGGTAAGGGGCAAAAAAGATAAAATAAGGAAAAAGGTTGGGGGTATGGCAGTTTTCTTTCTTTTCTTAAATAAGAAACTAATGAGGCAGAAGAATGACATATTCTGATATAAAGTGATCTGGCTCGTTTGGAATAAACTATTAAGGGGACAGTAGAAGAAAGACTAGCTAGAAGGCTCTTGGAATCCAGGTGATGGGGATTTGAATCTGGCTAGATGAGTTAATCAGAAAATCTATTAAGATCTATATGAAGCTGATGGGTGTGGTGAAAGAGATTGGATTCTAGACATTCAGACAATAAAATAGACAGGATTTGCTAATGGGTTCAATGAGGAGTCAAGGGTGTTTCTGGCCTAAAATAAGTATATAGTCAAAAGTTTGTGTTACTGAAAGAATACATATTTATAAAGTAGATGCCATGAAAAAAAGTATATACCCTAAATGGGGCGATGAGACATGCTATTCATATTTAAAATCATAACCATGTATGATGATTTTGCCCCAACCTATAGGGAAAAAGTATATACCCTAAATGGGGCGATGAGACATGCTATTCATATTTAAAATCATAACCATGTATGATGGTTCCTTTTTAAAATTTTGCCAAAAGGTTTTTGCATGCACTCACCAGAGAGCGAGACAGAGAGAAGACAGTACCCCTATAGGGTATGGTCATGCCACAATCCCTTCTCCATTTCTCCCTCCTTTTGGGACTTTGGGCATAACAGACATATGCCTGGAGTGTTTCTCAAAGTGCTAGGGGCCAGGACTCCAGCCACATTGTTAGCCATGTGGGAGGCATACAGCTACCTTAGAACATGGGTTGGCCCAGTGTTGCTTTTTAATAGCCTACCTTACCCTACCGTATACAAACACACACACACACCTCAATCTGTTTTAAGGAGAGAGCCGGCAAAATGAAAACTTTGGAAAGCTTAAGTTTTCAACAAAAGTTCCCTGAGTAAGTGAGATGACTTTTCTATCTTGAATTTTGTATGAAGGAAGAAAGGCTTGGAGGCTCTTTAGCGTGATCTATGAAGTTTTTGCTGCCTTACATTTTATGGTCTGCTCTCACTTTTAAGATAGACACCTTGTCAGGCTTAAGGAGGATCTGAATCTGGTAAAACACAGAAACCTACAAATTTGTACCAAAAGTCCAGTGAGATCATTTGCAATGAAAAACTTTCAAATCCAATTTAATGGCATAGTGATTAATATACTGTATTACTACTATATCAGTGTACTATATTGATTAGTAAATTATAGGTGCTGAGTAAAAAAATTATTTTAAAGAGTATATCTAAATGGAATAGTCACACTGCTGTTTGGGTGAGTACCTATAAGTCACCTGGAAATGATGTTAAATGCAGTTCTGGTAGGTCTGGGGTCAGGCACTCTGGGAGAGTGTGGGTGATGGTGTCAGGAACATCCTTCAGAGTGTACTTCTGCTGTTCCCCTTCTTACCCCATAAACTCAGACATAAAAGCTATAGTTACTATTAACTCAAGATTCAGAGGAAATGATAAATATTGAACCAGTACTACCTGAAGGGAAAGGATGATCTGCTTATCCATAAGTAGTAGACAGTGACTTTCTGTGACATGTCAGAGGCTGACTTGTGTTGTCTTCTAAACTGTGATTAGAGTGTCACCATTTAGATACGATTGCCATTTATTTTTACATGAAAGAAAACCAGGTCAGAAGAACCTTATGAAAGTTTTTACTAAATGTTTCCATCAGTTTATTTTCAGTTTTCCTTAAAAAAAAAAAAAATCACAAGTTTTAATACTAGTACCAACAAATGATATACACTAAACAAAGCTAACTCTCTCTCATGCTCCAAGTTGATCTATGTTCTCTTTACTTCTGTTTGCCAGATGATCTTCAATAATTTCTGCAAATAGATTCCTCTTCAACAAATTATATGCAAGAGGTAAAAGCTGACCAGCAACTTTATGAAAATACTGAAAAATAAAAGAATGTAACATTAAGCAGAGAATGTAAAAGTTATATAGGAGAAAATAATAAAAAACACTTGTTTAACAAAACCTACTTGAAAACTTTTTTTTTTTTGAGAAATGTTTTGCTGTCAGCACATGTGTTTGCTGGAGAGACAGAGAGAAAGGGAGAAATCACCCCTATGAGGGAATGGCCTCACTGCAATTCCTTGTCCTCCCAGGAATTTGGACATACACGCACATGTGCCCAGCTTCGTTTCAAGCTGCTAGGTCTGGGACTTGAACTGCGGTAGACCATGTGGGAGTTCAAGGCCTTAACCACCTGCTGGCTCCCGCAAATCCTTTCAGTACTCTTTCAGTTGATTAGTAAGCAGTGAATTCTGGCACAGGTACCTGGTATTTTGTCCAAGAGGCATGTGCCCTATAGCAAAAATTTAAATAAAAACAAAAAAAGTCACCGTGTTATTGATTTTTAGACTACTGCTATCTTGCATATTAGAATAGCTAGCAATGGTATATTCTTTTGTTGATCAAAATAAGCATTTACAAGGGGACTTTAAAAGTTAGTGGAAAGATGGAAGTAGTTTATTTTGGTGCAAAAAAAATGAAACCCATGCATAGTTTTTCATAATAAATTTTTCATAAAGTTTTTGAAAAATTGCTTGTATTTATAGTATTTAACAAGTGGTAAGTACTGTGTTAACTCTTACATGTTAAGTAATTCCTCAACAATGGTTGCTTTGCATCTTAGGGTTCTCCTTATTTCTAGCTAGGTTTTTTCAGGCAGGTCAAGCACTATTCTAATTGGTCAATGACTGTCATTCTGGTTGTTAAACACTCTGATGACTTTAACTGTCATAAATGAGGTAGACAGAGAAAAGTGATATAATATGATTTGTAGCAGGCTTCTCAGAATGTAGTCCCTTGACTAGTGGCATCAACCAACAACTTAATCATGACTTGGGAGTGCGGTGGGAAGAGTACCAGTCTATGTTTGAATAAGCTCTCCAGATGATTCTGATGCATACTCAGGTTAGAGTGACTGGCTTAATCGTGCTCCTCAATGTGTGATCTGTAAGCAGCAGCAATCCCATCACCTGGGAGCATGTCAAAAAGGAGAAATGCAGTCTCAGGTTTCATCCCAGACCACTGAAACTGTCTTCATTTTAACATCTCCAGGTAACTCCAAAGCACTTTACAGTTAGAGCATTACGAACTTAGACATTAATTCTGGAACCAGACTGCTTCTGTGAATCTTGGCAAGATGTTTTCCCTCTATGTGACTCTCAGCTGCCAAATAAGTTAAATGAGAAGCCAGTGATATGTGTGTGCACACATGTGCATGCAGATATATATAGACATTTTATAGGTAAAAGACAAAAAGGTATTAGAAAAATGACCTGATTTTATAGTGCTGGGGAAGATGTGATTTAAAACTGGTTTAGCCCCAGAAGCATGGTAAAGTCACTATGCCTTGTTGCTCCCTTGAACTTGAGGCAACTATAGTTAAGTAAGCCCTAGTTTAGCCATAATTTTTCTTACATAATGAGCAAATAGTTGATGGTAGAATAGCATCACTTATATTTTAAGTAATTTTTTTCCTTTACGACTTTTTACCATATGGCATGTACACTTGCCACAGAGAGAGAGAGAAAGAGAATGAGAAAAGTAAAGTGAGAAATCACCTTCTAGAAGACATGGCCACACCAAAATTCCTCCTTAGGAATTTTCCTTTTAGGATTTTGAGCACACACACCTGGTGTGATTTTTAAGCTGCTGGGTCTGGGACTTGAACCACAGTCAACCACATGGGAATCCAGCACCTTAACCACCACAGTGAATGCTAGCCCCATATTTTAAGTTATTTAAAGTATACTTTAAAACAGTCTTTGTTCTAATAAGACTTTAAGCACAGAGGAAATGAAATAGAGCCTAAGGACAGACATACACACACATGCATACACACACCAAACTAGAGCATGTCCCTATATCTCTAATAAGTAAATTCACTTCAATACATATAATATTGAAGACAAATAATCTTAGTTATTCACTTTTGTCAGTATATAAGATGAATTTCATATAAATATTTTTAGAACATTTACTTTAAAATCATTTCAAAAAGTTCATTTTGGGGACCAGTGGATGGCATAATGGTATCATCACTGGACTCACATAGTAGGCCACGGTTCAAGTCCAAAACTCAGTGGTTTAAAACTCACACGAGGCTTGTGTGCTCAAAATCCTGAGAGGAGAATAGAGAAGGGATTGCGGCGGTGGCCACAACCCTGGGCATGTGATTTTTTGCTTTCTTTGTCTCTCTGACAAGCACATGTGCCCTATAGCAAAAGTCTCTGTTATAATTAAAAAAATTTTTTTTTTCCCTAAGAAGAATCTATTGAGTTGTCAGAAAAGTCATGATGTACTTTTTTCTATGGTTTTCTATGCAGAAATGCATCATGACTTTTGCGACAACCCAACATAGCCTGCCTACCCTGGAACTTGGGGGTATAAACATACATGCCCACATGTATATAGTGTGGGATGGAGTGAAAGAGGGAGATTGTTTTACTCACATGTGAACCATAGCAAAAGAGATCCATTCCCAGCTCAAGCCCCATGCCGTAGTCACATTCATCATTAGCAAACTGCACAAAGGTCATCATTTCCTGAATGGGAGCAAAAGCTTTTAGTCTGTCTTCATCACTTGTGGCCTCAACAATTGCCTTGCAAATTCTCTTGAGGTCAGCTGAAAGAGATAAATGATATCAAAAGATTATTTATATGATTTTTAGATGTTTAATTTTTGCCTTCAAAGGTAAAAGGACTTTAGGTGGGGTTTTTCCTCATGATTTTTATTTTTTGTTGTTCTAGAATAACTGATGCAACCTTAGGTAATAATTAATCAGCATTATAATTTAGGATAGCAGTTTTATTTATTTATTTATTTTTTACTTATGATTCAAGCATTAAAAATAGATTAACATGGGCCAGCAGGAGGCTGAGGTTAAGATGGCTGGATCCCACATGGCCATCCTCATGATTAGAGTTCGAGACCCTGTGGTTTGAAAAACATGCTAGGCACATGTGCATGTGTACCCAAAATCCTGAGAGGAGAATAAAGACAGGATTGTGGTGTGCCCATCTCCCTCTCACCCAGGTGCGGGGTGGGCAATTTCTCTCTTTCCCGACCAAGGTATACATGCTCTATAACAAAACTTAAAAGAAAAAAAAAAGGCTTAAAAAAGATTTCTTATTATAGTGTGACTATTCACAATGGATTTAGTTGCAGTGATTTTCTATACACTTTGAAAGACTCTTAAGTATGCTAGTCCAGGAACTGGTAAACTTTAGCCAAATCTGGCTCATTCTATTTTTTCTTTTTTTTAAATTAAGAGATTATTGCTATAGGGTGCATGCGCTAGCTAGAGAGATAGAAAGCAAGAAATCACCTCCCCTGAGGGGGGATAGACATGCTGCAATCCCTTCTCCATTCCTCTTGGGATTTTGGGCATGCATGCACACATGCCTGGTGTGAGTTTAAGCCACGGGGTCCAGGACTCAAACCACAGTCGACTACTGGGAGTTTTAAAAGCCACCGCGTCTTGAAACTTGAACCATGCCGTTGGCTATGTTAGGTCTATAATAGCTCATGTAACCAGCAGACTAGGGCTGGCCATAACTAGAACTTTTTAATCTCAGTGTATGAATATTATTTGATTGATTCAGTCACGATGACCATATGGAATACATTCTATGTGAGGTCACTAATTGTGATTGTTCCCCTTTTCTATCTTTAGTAGGTCAGTATCACTTCAGACAAATAGCAAACTTTTATCACCTATGTTCTTGACTATAAACAGTAAAAGTTTAGTGGTTTTATATACACGTCAAGACCTTCCTTTTTCTTTCTTCTTCAGAAAATCAGTGCCAGTCATTTCAAGGAAACAGATGATGTTTCCTCCAAACATCTTTCTTAAGGACGGAAAATTAGCTGGTCCTTCCTGCATCCAGAAGATATAACTAAGTGAGTAGGACTCTCGGAATTGGTCTCTCCAGGCAACTACCAAACAGTTAGGTTTAGTAGAGAAGTGAAGACCTATTTGTTTTCTGCTAGCAAATAATTTACAGTTTATCACTTTCTGGTATTATGTTTTCTTCTTTTGCCTCTGGAAAATCATATATGGACTGAAAAAAAAAAGGATAAACAACTTACAAGAATTTCTAAGCTAGGAAGATGCTGAAAAACAGAAATGAAAATAGTCTCAGTATTAGAAAAAAAGATGATCTATCAATAAACATTTTACAAAAATTGACTTAACAGAAGCCCAAACTTAAAAAGTACCTAAATGAAGCTTTAAATTTAACAGTTTCACTATTTACTTTGTATTGTATCCCTGCCATATCATTGATAAGAGTTCTCAAGCTAAGCCAGAGTGTTTAGTCAACTAGCTAAGCAATTATTCTTACTTTGCATACTGGTACATACTCTCAAGTCAGAACAAGTCTGAGATTCAGGTCCCTCAGTTACTAGTGCTAAACACCTTGAATCTATTTCCCCTCCTAAAAAATGGGAATAAGACCTAAGTGAGGTTCTTATTCCTCAAAGAGTGAGGATCAATGACATTATGTATACAGCCCTTGGTATGGTGAATCACATCATTTAAGAATTGCCCAATTGCCCCCGCCTGCTGTGAAGTGTCAGGAGCTGTATGGGAAGCACCCAAGTTTGGATCCTGGGCTGACCTGAACATGTTGTACTGTCTGTAGGCACATCCTTGGACCTAGCTGACTGGAGGGATGGCAAGGTGATTGCAACATGGTGAGACCCTGTCAGACGTTCCTGTCTCTCTCTCAAGAAAGAAAGAAAATTGCTCAATACATGTAACTTATTTGCCAGGTTAAAATATTATTGTAAGAATCTTCAAAGGGGATACTGTTTAAGAACAAACTTAAGTATGATTTGCAGTGTCATACATTAAAAAATTGCCAATTATACCTCCTGCCAAACAACAGTAGGCAAAACATTAGGTCCTTTATTTTTTGTCTTGCTATCATTTCTCATTCAAAAATAATTAAACTACAGAAGGACCTAATGCTTAAAATATTAGGCTTGGACATTAACTCCCAGAAGCATAACCAGAGTAGTGATAAGCTTCACTTCAGGGCACTGCAAACTAACCACCACTACACCTAAAGTTTTAGAGATGCTGATTCTATTACTATCTCCTTTGAAAGAAGATAGTATTGTTATTTAAAGCTCTAAATGGACTAGTGAGCAGAGTGGCAGACGAGATTACTTGGCATACAAGCAGAAGACTGACCAGTAGGCACGCTGGTCAGATCAGCTTGCCCAAGATAATTATAATACTGGCTACATACACAGTTAAAATTTTCTATCCACATTAAAAACAAGTAAAATTAATTTTAAGATATTTAACCCTTATTTCCAAAACAGTATCATTTCTACATATAATCAAATAAAAATATTGAATCTTACTTAAATTTATAAATTGAAATTAAATAAATTCTGCTCATTAGCTGTACCAGCCACATTTGAAGTGCTCAGTAGTCATCTGTGGCTAGTGGCCACTATCAGACAGTTCAGCTCCATGGAATTCCTCTAAAGTGACAGGAATATGGCAAAACTGTCACATTTGCACAATAGAGAACAGATGAATAAATCTGGTTAAAATGCAGACTTCCAAATCTCGACCCCAGTCTGATAACTACCAAGGCAGGTTAATTCTGTTCTGAAAATGGCTAGCCAACTATTATGTGTACAGGGGAAGAATACTTGATTCTGCCTTTAGAAGGTGTTAACTTTGACTTCTCTTTAAGTTTTATTTCCCTTGAACCAGGATGATTAAATAAAGGAGGGGGGACAGGGATGTTCACAATAAGAGGATGCAGGAGAAAAGAGAAGTGATTTTAATTCTCTTTTTTTCAACGCAGCAATAATTATTTTGTGAAACAGTCCCTTTTCAAAGTGTTTTTATACTTGTAGATGAAGTAGTTACAGGATTTTGGGCTTCTGAAAGCCAAATAGTTTTACATGGAGTTGAAAAAACTGGTCACAACTTAACAAATGCATGCTGTTTCAATAATTACTATTTTATAAGTTGACTAATGTTAAAGGTTCTAAAACAGGTTAGAAAAGCTAGGTAAGAGGCTACAATTCTTTAAATTCTTAAAGATAACTACCACTTATTTATTTATTGTTTTAAGTTTGCTATAGGATATGTGTGCTTAGCTCGTTGGAGAGAGACAGAGAGATATAAAGAGTGAGAAATCAGCCCCAAGGGGGGGGATGGCCATGGTGTAATCTCTTCTCCTCTAAGGATTTTGGGCACGCACATACAAGCACTAAGTGTTTTTCAAACTGCTAGATCTGAGACTAACCACACAGTCAGCCACGTAGGATCCTGCTTCCTTAAGCACTACATCACCAGCTTGCCCACATAACTAGCACATTCTTAACAGAAACAGTTCAGAAAAACGAGGCAATAGGTTAAAACTCTTTAAATCCTTAAAGATAACTACTGCATTTTGAACAGCATAAAGCAAGCATGGTGCTGAGCACCTTACACACCCTTTCATACCACAGGTATCCCTGTGAAGTAGCACTACGAACCCCACTTTTCTGATGAAAAAGACAGTGTCTAGAGAGGTAATTCACTCAAAGTTACACAGCTATAACCGGTTTTAATTCAGGTATGACTGACTCAAAAACCTGAGCTTACTCTTTATAACTTAGGTCTAGTGACTGTCTCACAAAAGGCTCAGGTATATATATATATATATATATATATCTGCTTCTCTACTTAAGGAAAATCTTCTCTTATGTATATTAATACACACACACACACACACACACACACACGTTATATATGAAATATATTACCATCTGATTCAGGGAGTTCTCTATATCCAACATCATTTTTATCTACTGGAACCACCAAGCCTGCACCATGAAAGGTCTTCGTCACAACCTTAAAGAAAAAAATAAAATTTAATCATGGTAAACAAACCTAAAACACAAACACATGCTCAACATTTCTGCCAAAACATAACACTTAATGACATTGAATTACAGTAAATTTGGACTTTGGGGAGAAAGTTTAATACTATGAGGGGGTCACCAAAGTGGAAAATGTATTTTATGAAAAAATTATGCACAGATTTCAAAATTATTTGCACCAAGATAAACTCATATAATTTAATTCTATTTTCCCACAAACCTTTTGAAGTTCCTCACATTTCATTTCTTTTTTTTTTTTTGGAGCGGTTTTTGCTATAGGGGGGGTAGGCTTGACAGAGGGACAGAAACCGGTGTATGCTTGACAGAGAGACAGAAAGCGAGAAATCATCCCCCAGGGGAGATGGTCACGCCGCAATCCCTTCTCCTCCATTCTTTTCTCGGTATCTTGCGCACGCACGCACACGCACCCGGCGTGAGTTTTAAGCCACTGGGTCCGGGACGTGAACCGCAGTGACTACATGGGAGTCCAGCAATGTACCCATTATGCCATCTGCTGGTCGCTATCCCAGAATTTTTCAAAACAAACTAATAGAAATGTCATTTACTCCAAGGTAGAATTCTTTCAGTTATCTGTTAACTTACTCTGAATCTGTAACTGAAAAACCGAAAGGATCTAAAATCTACAGGTATTTGCTTCTTTACAAAACACTTCCCTCCATACTCCAGGTATTAGGAGATGTGAGGGGAAATGCTGGCAGGACCAACAAGGGAAAAGTAAGGAGGATTGCCATACACATGTTTACTGGAGAAAATGAACAAATTTTAATATATACTCTTTCTCAAGAGGGAACTACCTTTAAGACGCTTAACTATATGGCAGGCATTTTACAAAGCTACCACCCAAAAAACACCTTGCACTAAGTCAATCTACCTCAGCCATTGAAAAAATCTTTAGAGCCATCTGGGTGATGTGGTGATTAAGGCAGCTGGATTCCACATGGCCAACTGTGTGATTCAAGTCCTGGACCTGGTTGGTTGGAAGATATATCGGGCACGTGTGCATGCATACCCAAAATCCTGGGAGAATGGAAGAGAGGAGGAATTGTTGTGTGGCCATCTCCTCTGGGTGATTTCTCAATGCTCCTGACTCTCGTGCGTGCACACACCCTATATCAAAAAAAAAAAAAAAAAAAGGAAATTTTAGCAAATAAATATTATGTACAAAGCTACTTTTCCTTTTTTATTTTTTAAATTTTGCCACAAGGTACATGTGGTCACCAAAGATGGAGAGTCGGGGAAGGGACAGAGATATCATACCCTTCAATGGGATATGGTCAGGCAGCAATCCCTTCTCCTCCATTTCTCTCCATCCCTTCAGGATTATGGGTATGCAGTACACACGAGCCCAGAATGTTTTTCAAGCTGCTGGGGCCAGAACTTGTACTGCATGGTTAGCATGTGGGATCCAACTCTCTTAACTACCAAGCCACAGGGCTAGCCCAAAGCTGCTTTTACTTTACTTTAAAAAATGATTCATGGATAAAATAGACTTAAAAAGTGGTAAATGGGCCAGCAAGTAGCAGAGTGGTTAAGGTGTTGGATCCCACATGACTGAATTTGCAGTTGTGGAGTCCCAGACCTAGCGGTTTGAAAACATCACTGGATACATGTATGTGTGGCCCAAAATCCCAACAGGAGAATGGAATAAGGGATTATGGCATGGTCATTCTCCCCTACCCTGGGGAGAGGTTTTGATTTCTCCTCTTCCTCTCTGTTTCTAACAAGTACATGGATCCTATAGCAAAAATCTAAAAAAAAAAGTGTGTGTAAATATCAGCATGAGTTATGCAACCACAGCAATTATACTTGCAGTTTCAAGATTCAGTCTGTGTACCACCCTATGGAAGCCATCCATACCTGCTCCAATGCTATCCCTCCTGGCAGTCCAGTTATTAAACAGCCCTGGAGGGAGCCCCTGAAGGATGGCATCCAGCTCTCTTTAGAAAAGGTTGGAGAAGAGAAGGATAAGGTAGAGATGGAAAGGAATCAAAGGAAAAATCTGCTAAACAGCAAAACAGAGACTACTGAGATCGTACTTTCTTATCCCTCTGCTTCATCTTCATGGTTCTCTGTTCCAGTGAGTACCCAAGTTCTTTGGCTGCTTCTGTAAGTTTTTCATCTATGTTTTTCAAGAGACTAGTTTTCTTTTTATCTGTAACAAGTACATGGATCCTATAGCAAAAATCTAAAAAAAAAAGTGTGTGTAAATATCAGCATGAGTTATGCAACCACAGCAATTATACTTGCAGTTTCAAGATTCAGTCTGTGTACCACCCTATGGAAGCCATCCATACCTGCTCCAATGCTATCCCTCCTGGCAGTCCAGTTATTAAACAGCCCTGGAGGGAGCCCCTGAAGGATGGCATCCAGCTCTCTTTAGAAAAGGTTGGAGAAGAGAAGGATAAGGTAGAGATGGAAAGGAATCAAAGGAAAAATCTGCTAAACAGCAAAACAGAGACTACTGAGATCGTACTTTCTTATCCCTCTGCTTCATCTTCATGGTTCTCTGTTCCAGTGAGTACCCAAGTTCTTTGGCTGCTTCTGTAAGTTTTTCATCTATGTTTTTCAAGAGACTAGTTTTCTTTTTATCTGTTACTTCTTTAAGTTTTTTCATCAAAAATAATCTGAAAAAGAAGAAAAAGTCCTCATTATATTGCCAGCTACTGTATAAAATATATAGACCTTTCTAGTTAAGGGAGCAAATTTAAAAATATCAAATTCTATGCATGAAAAAGTCTGTAAATTAATTACCAACAGTTCTCTCAAAATCCCCGTGTTCTTGGAACCAGCAGTTAGCGTAATGGCTATGTCGCTGGACTCCCACGTAGTCGACCGCAGTTCGTGTCCCGGACCCGGTGGCTTAAAACTCACGCCGGGCGCGTGTGCGTGCGTGCCCAAGATCCCGAGAGGAGAATGGAGGAGAAGGGATTGCGGCGTGACCATCCCCCCGGGGGGTGATTTCTCGCTTTCTGTCTCTATGTCTCTGTCTGTCTGGCGAGCGCACGCGCCCTACAGTGAAAATCTCTCCAAAAAAAAAAAAAAAAAAAAAAAAAAATCCCCGTTTTCTTCAAATGAGGGAAAAGCAATATTAAGAAGCAGCTGCTATTCTCACTACTAAGATGACTGAAGTTTGAATTAACATGTCTACAATGAAGGCATAAGAGAGATTTTAAGAGCTGAGATTGGGGCCAGCAGCTGGCATGGTGGTTATTAAGGTGCTGGACTCTGATATGGGAATCACAGTTCGAGTTTCTGACCTAACAACTTGAAAATCACACCAGACACATGTGTGTGCATACTCTAAATCCAGAGAGAATAGAGCAGAAGAAATTGCAGTGTGGCCATCCCTCCCTTGGGGGTGATTTTTCACTTTCCCTCTCTCTGTCTCTCTCCAGCAAGCCCATGTGCCCTATGGCAAAAACCTTAAAAAAAAAAAAAAAGCTGAGATGAGATTAAATTTTTAAGCTTTTTCACTTTTTAATTTGCCAGAGGGCATGTGTACTTGCCGGTGAGACACAGAGAGAGAATCCCCCATGGGGCATGGTCACGCTGCAATCCCTTCTCCTCCATCTCCTTTCAGGATTTTCTGGGCACACACATACATCCAGTATGTTTCTCAAGCTGCTAGGTCTGAGACTCAAACTGCGTGATCAGCCATGCAGGATCCAGCTGCCTTAATCACTAGGCCACAGACTAGCCTGAAATTAATTCAAGTTTTAAGTTGTATCAGTTGACATTAAGATATAGCATAATGTTTTAGTCTGGCATAAGCAAAAAACAGCATGTAGACAACAGAACATATTTTTTATCTTAGTTTTATTTTTTATTATTCTTTCAATTCATCAGAGAGGAGAAACTAAGTAGGCAAGTCACCAGCTGAGACTTGAACCTCAGTTGCCCGTGTGAAAATCCAGTACCTTGACCATCAAGCAACCTGCTGGCTCCATTTTTTTTTTTTAAAGAGCCAGAGGACACTTAACAATATACAATAGGACAGTGCTCAAAAGAGAGAAACAGAGAGAGAGGGAAAATTAGAAGTCACCCTCTCTCCACCCCAGAAGGGATGGCCACACTGCCATCGCTTCTCCTCCATTTTCTTCTCAGGATTCTGGGCATGTACTCATGCACGTGAGCCCAGTGTGTTTTTTAACCACTGGATCTGGACTGGAATCATTCAGTCGACCATGTGGGATCTAGCCACCTTAACCTCCATGCATCTGCTGGTCCAGTCAACAGGTTTATTTATTTATTTTTTATTTATTATTGGAGAGGTTTTTGCTATAGGGCATGTGCGCTTGCCAGAAAGACAGACACACAGAGACAGAAAGTGAGAAATCACCCCCCCCCAGGGCATGATGGCCACGCCACAATCCTTTCCTCCTCCATTCTTCTCTCGGGATCTTGGGCACACATGCCTGGTGTGAGTTTAAGCCACCGGGTCCAGGACTCAAACCACAGTCGACTACATGGGAATTCAGTGACATAGCCATTATGCTAACTGCTGGTCCCATGAACAGATTTTTTAAATGTTAACTTCTACTTTGTGTTAAATTTAGATAATTTAAAAAGAAAGCAAAACTACTTTACAAGTTAATACGAAAACTCAATACAAAGTAGTTTTTAAAGGAATGTGAGTAGTATAAAATGTTAATATCTGTTACAGAAGTAATATTTTATAATAAGCATGTTAAAATTTTTGCCAGCAGTATAGCAGGTCAAGAGTAAAATGAAGAGCTAAGAGTGGCAGTCAGCTGACATAAACTAAATCCCCTTGCTCAATGGCCAGGGCCAGACTCCCAAAAAGAAACCCACTTCTATTCACTGCCAACATCTGAGAGTCTACGGTACTCTTACAACACTGCTATGGTCTATGGATAGCAAAGTGTTAGAACATTTATAGCAGGTGCTAGTCTTAGCGCCATTTTACATATTAGGAAACTGAGGACAGAGGATAATCAGTTCATCCAAGTTTAGAAAGCTAACAATGGTAAAGTACCACAGAAACCTAAACTGTCAAAATTATCATCTTCTGATTACAGCACACATAAGCTACACTAAATCTTACCTTCAGCCTGAAGGAGTTGTATATCAAAAGAATATAATTAAGCCTAAAGAACAAAATTGATCATGTCAGGCCTATGTGAATCAATATTCACAGTCTCACTCAACCTCCGTGGCCAGGCATATAGGGCCTTACTGATATTTCTGTAATATTAGCATATATTGCTCCTTTGCCTAAGACACTCTTCTTCCCACTCTTTCTAGTATGTTCTTACGCATGCATCATAGCCCAGAAAAAATCCTCTTGACTGCCACTGCTGTTTAGGGCACTACATGGCTGCCTTTCCATACGTACACTCTGACGACTATCTGTACCAGTCTGCATCTCAGTTCCAAACCTACTCCAGTATTCTGCCTGACGGTGCTTAAAGATAAGGTGTAGGGGCTGCAGGTGGCATGGAGGTTAAGGTGTCTGGAAGCCACATGGCCAACTTCACTGTGCAAATCTCAGTCCCAGTGGCTGAAAAATCATCCTGATCCTTCTCGTAATATCAACTTTACTCTATTATGTAACGTTATGGAGGAAAAAAATCACACTCATTATCACCTCAAATCTCATTAGAAAAGTCTTTAGGTCTTGAGAAGCTGTCAGACTTAACAGAGGCTGCTATAAAATTTCACTGTATTTTTGTTCGAAGCTAAATTTTATCACTGGAAACAAATACAGTCAGCCTGTTGTTTTCTTTGGTTCATTTGAGAAAATGTCTGCAAGTACCCATGTCTTAATAACCATAGTTTTTCAATCAGCTGAGTAAAAGTAGGAAAAAGTTCAACTCAAAACTCTCATAGCTGCCATCGCTTCTCCTCCATTTTCTTCTCAGGATTCTGGGCATGTACTCATGCACGTGAGCCCAGTGTGTTTTTTAACCACTGGATCTGGACTGGAATCATTCAGTCGACCATGTGGGATCTAGCCACCTTAACCTCCATGCATCTGCTGGTCCAGTCAACAGGTTTATTTATTTATTTTTTATTTATTATTGGAGAGGTTTTTGCTATAGGGCATGTGCGCTTGCCAGAAAGACAGACACACAGAGACAGAAAGTGAGAAATCACCCCCCCCCAGGGCATGATGGCCACGCCACAATCCTTTCCTCCTCCATTCTTCTCTCGGGATCTTGGGCACACATGCCTGGTGTGAGTTTAAGCCACCGGGTCCAGGACTCAAACCACAGTCGACTACATGGGAATTCAGTGACATAGCCATTATGCTAACTGCTGGTCCCATGAACAGATTTTTTAAATGTTAACTTCTACTTTGTGTTAAATTTAGATAATTTAAAAAGAAAGCAAAACTACTTTACAAGTTAATACGAAAACTCAATACAAAGTAGTTTTTAAAGGAATGTGAGTAGTATAAAATGTTAATATCTGTTACAGAAGTAATATTTTATAATAAGCATGTTAAAATTTTTGCCAGCAGTATAGCAGGTCAAGAGTAAAATGAAGAGCTAAGAGTGGCAGTCAGCTGACATAAACTAAATCCCCTTGCTCAATGGCCAGGGCCAGACTCCCAAAAAGAAACCCACTTCTATTCACTGCCAACATCTGAGAGTCTACGGTACTCTTACAACACTGCTATGGTCTATGGATAGCAAAGTGTTAGAACATTTATAGCAGGTGCTAGTCTTAGCGCCATTTTACATATTAGGAAACTGAGGACAGAGGATAATCAGTTCATCCAAGTTTAGAAAGCTAACAATGGTAAAGTACCACAGAAACCTAAACTGTCAAAATTATCATCTTCTGATTACAGCACACATAAGCTACACTAAATCTTACCTTCAGCCTGAAGGAGTTGTATATCAAAAGAATATAATTAAGCCTAAAGAACAAAATTGATCATGTCAGGCCTATGTGAATCAATATTCACAGTCTCACTCAACCTCCGTGGCCAGGCATATAGGGCCTTACTGATATTTCTGTAATATTAGCATATATTGCTCCTTTGCCTAAGACACTCTTCTTCCCACTCTTTCTAGTATGTTCTTACGCATGCATCATAGCCCAGAAAAAATACTCTTGACTGCCACTGCTGTTTAGGGCACTACATGGCTGCCTTTCCATACGTACACTCTGACGACTATCTGTACCAGTCTGCATCTCAGTTCCAAACCTACTCCAGTATTCTGCCTGACGGTGCTTAAAGATAAGGTGTAGGGGCTGCAGGTGGCATGGAGGTTAAGGTGTCTGGAAGCCACATGGCCAACTTCACTGTGCAAATCTCAGTCCCAGTGGCTGAAAAATCATCCTGATCCTTCTCGTAATATCAACTTTACTCTATTATGTAACGTTATGGAGGAAAAAAATCACACTCATTATCACCTCAAATCTCATTAGAAAAGTCTTTAGGTCTTGAGAAGCTGTCAGACTTAACAGAGGCTGCTATAAAATTTCACTGTATTTTTGTTCGAAGCTAAATTTTATCACTGGAAACAAATACAGTCAGCCTGTTGTTTTCTTTGGTTCATTTGAGAAAATGTCTGCAAGTACCCATGTCTTAATAACCATAGTTTTTCAATCAGCTGAGTAAAAGTAGGAAAAAGTTCAACTCAAAACTCTCATAGAAGCACCTTTTTCCACATGACAAAACAGAGTATTTCTGTATACAGAAGTGCTTTCTACACATTTCTTTTTCATCACAGAGTGCTAACAAGATGTACTCTTTGATGTAGAGAGCCAATACATTTTCACTCCACCACTGACATTCTTTTTATTTTTTTAAGAGAGATTTTTGCTATAGGGCACATGCACTGGCCAGACAAAAAGCAAGAAATCGCCTCCTGGGGGGGTGGCCACACCACAATCCCTTCTCCTCTATTATCCTCTAGGGATTTTGGGCAGGCACACACACACACGCACACACACACACACACACACACACACCCACCCACCCAGTGAGAGTTTCAAGCCTCCTGATCCAGGATTTGAACTGCTGTCGGCTATGTGGGAGTCCGGTGATGTAACCATTATGCCATCTGCTGGTCCCCATCACTGACATTCTTAAATGACACTTGCATTATATTATTGCTGTGAATAATGCAGACTGCTACTAATTTGGTGTTACTGTATTGGTTCCTGCCAAGGTGCTAACAATATTATTACCCACCATTACCTTTGCACCACTAGTGCAAAAACAACATTTTATTACCACAATTAATTCTGACTTTTTAAGACTGTAAAGTCAAAATTAATACATTTATTTCAGGGAAAATAGACAAGGGGAGAAAATCACTCCTGTCTGTTGTCCATAGGTAAATGTTTTACAACTTTGAGTACATTTAGGGTTTTTTCCTCCTCAAGTATATTAGAGAGTAAAAAATGGGATCATTCTATACTGTTCTGTTACTTGCCTTCTTCACAACAGTCGATTAATCAGTATCGTGGCATAATAGTACAGAGAAATTTTACCTTTACCTAATCTTCCCCATTGCTGAACATGTATATTATTTCCAGATTTTCATTTTCATGATAATCTATAATAAACATGTATGTATTCGTGTACCTGCCCAAAATTGCTTTGATAGCTAGAAAAGGAATTTCTGACTCCAGGGTATAAATGTGTCCTTAGCACAGTACCTAGCAATGCTAATGATCGGTCAAGACATCTTGAAATACGGTTCTTTAACCATTTCTCAAACGGTTCTCTACAACGGTTTTACCAATTAACATTGATATCAGTAAAGCTTCTTATACCCTACCCATCACTGGTTATAACTATTCTTTAACATTACTAATCTTTAATCACTTAATTTATATTTCTTTAGCCACTGTATATTAAATTTTACACAGAGAGAACTACTTGTCCTGGGCATAAAAATGATTTGTCTGTTAAAAATGGTCTACCTGTAAGGCTTTACTTGCCTGCTATCAAAATAAAATAAGAAACATAGAAAGAAATTAAGTGTGAGGTCAGCCAGTGGTATGGCAATTAAGGTATGCTGGATCCCACATGGCCAATTGTGTGGTTCAAGTCCAGACTTGATGGCTTGAAATACATGCCAGGTGTGTGTGACTGCAGGCCCAAAATCCTGAGAGGAGAACAGAAAAGGGAAGGAGGTATTGCACGCCCCACTATGTGGTGATTTCTCAGTTTCCCTCTCCCTCTCTCTCTGGTGAGCACACAAACCCTCTAATAAAAAAAAAGAAAGAAAGAGAGAGAGAGAGAAACTGAGATTAGCTAATTTAAGTAAAGGCAGGCCTACAAAACTAAAAGTGATAATACTTTAAAAGTATTAAAGTTGTTACACGGCAAAATAATCTTTTCTCCTATGTTTGAGATAAATCATTATTCCTCAAATACTCATTTGCTGGTCATCGTCACCTAAATTATAAATACAGTAATATCACCCTGTATTTTTATTTCTCTTAGTTCTCTCTTCCAATAAGCTAAAAAAAAAATTCCACAATAGTCTTGATTATTTTATATAACCATTATGTTATCTTTCTTTTAAAAACAGGTTTCTATCAAGACAAATAAGACTAATAATATAAATGAAAAATTAGATATTTTTACATACCAAAGTATTTGTAGAATGAAGTATTATTTTCTGATTGATTTGATTAATTTAGCCATGGGACATCTGAGGTTCAATATCAAGTATTTTTATTAAATAAAAATTACACAGGAATTATATTTTTAAAAATCTACAACTTTAGGCTTACTCTAAGTCCCCTTTATAGTGGTCTGATACAGAACAAAATGTAAACAGATATTCAATTATAAATAGAAGAATTAAAATATTTTCTTACTTTACTGCAGCAAATACATTATCTCCACTTTGAACAATTGTACAATTTTTCTTTGCTTCATTTATACCAACATATACTGGAAGTTCATCAGGAGAATCCCTGTTTAAACAGAAGATATTAGAAACTTAGCTGTACAGAAATTATATTAGGCAAGTGGAATTTTAGGTCTTTAGACAACTTATATCTGTGTATTTTTTCAAAACTGGAAAAAATTTGCCAGGTTTAAGCCCGTTTCTTAGGAATATCTATGACAAACCTTATTTATATAACAGAATCTAAAGTTATAAGATTCTGAGGACCCTACTTGCTTTTATACCCAAATACAAAGAAAGGGGCTTAGATAAAACCTGTCAAAGGAAATGGGAATTAACATAATTACCTCTACCCAGTTTTAGAACCTATCAAAAAAAGAAGAAAGAAAGTGGAATAACTGAGTAGGAAGTTACTCAGTCAGGATTCTAGTAATTAAGTGGAAAAGAAAAAAAGACAATTTAATTTAGTGGAATTTGATTGAGCAAATCTTAACACAATTTGAATTGGGCAGTTTGCCTAATAGCTTCCGAACAACTCTGAGTAGCATCATGGTCTGGAAAAGGAAACTGATATGTACAGGAACGGGAAAGTGACGTACAAAAACCAAGTGAATGAGTGAGGTAACAAATCCACTGGATTCGAGGTTTGTCTGTATTAACACAGTTTAAAAGGCTAGATGCCTGTGACTGACTGAAACCTAGCTGCTGTACTGGCTGTAACCTAGCCAAAAAAAGAAAAGCAGCTTTATCTATAATAATGAGGTGACAGTTTGTTTATGGAAACCAAGCAAAAATATGGAGGCGTTTTTGATATTCTTTAACCTAAGTTACTATCAAATCCACAAGCAGAGCCCATATAACTCAATTTCCAGCCTCATGTGCATTCTACTGTACCACGATACTTCTCCCTGAACATGCTTCCTCTATTCCTCTATCATCTTACATTTCATCTTCACTTCAAAGGACAATCTCTCTTCTGGGACAGACAATGTATATTTCCCTGGCAGCTACTTCTGTTTCTTAACATTCTAAGCATCTTGCATGTATTAATTTAATCATAATGTTTCTACTAGGCATGTTCAATGATCCCGTTGTCATAGGAGAGGAAACTGAGTGACAGAAAGTCATAGTCACTAATGGCTGGCACAGGATCATCCAGCTATAAACAATAAGACCAGTCTGACTCCAGAGCCACTTTGTTCCTGATAGCACATGGCTTATTTAATTCACAGCAGCTGCTCTAAGTTATCTTTCTTAGGTAAAAGAGCTCCTCTGAACCCAAAAGGGGAAACATTTCTAACTACAAAGGAAAAACCAGTGAGATTTAACCTGAAGAGTTCATCCATCCTAGAGGAGGTTAAAATGGTAATAGCAAGAACAATAAATGAAAATATGCCCTTCACCTAAGGTAAGGCTAGTGAATATCTATCTATATTCCTTAGCAGGGCAGTAGCTATACATCAGAGAAGAAAAGACCTTTACCTGAAATACCCCATGTGATACTGAGTTTTATTATCTCCAATAATAATGGTCTGGAATTCAGGAGGATCATAGTAAAACCTCCAGTGAAGGTTAAAATTCAAACCTGTTGACTTTTTCTTTGCTTTATGCTTTCCAGCAAGGATATCATAAGGACCCACTAATCGAAGTCCAAGGCTTGCAGAAAGTGAGTCTATAAAGAAAATAAGTTTGTTTAGACAATACTTTCTAGAGGCAGTTGTAAAATAATATTTTTCAATAGTAAATATTTATAAGCATTGTCTTCAAAAAAGTTTATAGAGTTAAAAAAATATTTAGTTATTTGTGAAGAGGTTAGTTATAAACACTCAGTGGAAAAGAAATCAGGGTAACATAAACGTGCATTACATTTAGGATGTCCTCTTTATCACTGGATTAGCTTAACACTTCAAACACTCCAGCCGTTTCTTAGTTTATCAGACTAAATACAAACAAGACTGTTTTGTATTCCCATGGGTATATTAGAGCCACAAACACTTTAATTTCATTATCACACTGCTCTTAGCCAGAAATAATTGTAGCACACAAAGATTAAGAGTGTGATGAGAGACAGCAGAAAGTGTGCATTATGGATGGTAAAAGCCATTTCCTTCCCCTTCTTTCTACCCAGGTAATTATCACCCCAAATTCTAACAACTCGACGATCTATTTAGCCAACCCTAACACTGATTTTCCCCTGCTGGGGAGGCCCTGCTCCCGCTCAGTCCCCACCACACTGAGAAGCTCCCCCTCCTTGACAGTTTCCATCCCAGACCCCTGCAGGAGGGGCTGAGGAGCCCTCCTTGTCACAAACCATCAATAAAGGTACACTGTATCAGCCAAAAAAAAAAAAAAGAATGCTTATTACTTCAACTGCAAAATCATCCTAAAACCCTTGCAACATATGAAAGTGCTTGTTTTCCTTCACAATCCCACTGAAGAATGCCATAAAATTACTTACCTTTGCCAATATAATAGGTGACCCTAGCATATTATTACAGTGGTAATTTATACTTTCCTTATTATTTCTCTAATTAGAAACATTTTTGCAAATGTTCCTTTTCCATGCATTGTTGCAATTCTTAGTCGAATTTTCTATTAAGTTATCTTTTCCATTTATCGAAGCAGGAGAATGATTCTGGAGAAACTTACCAGCTGGCTTTTCAGGATCAAGTTCTTCACAGAACTTCCAAAAGTGATAGAAATCTTCAGGTAGAGAAAGCTTATAATGATTTTCAACTTCTTTTCGAAGATCACTGGAGACATCAGCTTTACAGGATTTACTCTTCTTCACATCAACTGCCTTTTCACACTGAAAATTGCCATATAAAACTTTAGTTCTGTGAAAGAAATTTCAGTAACTTTCCTTGTATAATATTGCTCATTCTGTTCAGTCAACTCTGAGAAATCTATTTTCTTTAAAACTCTCCAAGTGGCATTTCTGAGTAAAATCTGGGAATTGTTTGGGCAAATGAAAAAGAACAAGTGAAATGGTGGTCAAGGAAGACCCACACAGTAAATCTTTAAATAGTATTTCTCTAACATAACAAAAACACAGAAAACAAGTAAGTAAAAAAGAAACAAAGAAAAAGAAAGAAAATGCAGGGTTTTTTGTCTCTTTTGGTTAACAGAATGTCAGCATGCCTTTTGTTTAAATAGATTCACCAGAAGCAAATTGTCAGAAATAACTGGACCTAAGGAATTTACCAATTAAAAAGCTGTTACTGTAGCAAAGGCTCACCAGAGTTGTGTCTACACTACTCCCTTCAGTCAATATTCAGCCTTCCAATTAAAAACAGACACGTCTAGCCAGCCAGTGGTGTGCTGGTTAAGTGGTTAGATCCCACATGGCCAACTTTATGGTTCAAGTTTCATATCTGGCAATTAGAAAAACACACCAGGTGTGTGTGTGTGTGTGTGTGTGTGTGTGTGCCTGAAATCCCCAGAGGAGAACAGAGAAGGGATTGTGGTATAGACATCCCCCCAAAGGGGTTTCTCACACTATCCCGCCTTTCTCACACACATTCTCTAAAGCAAAAACAAAAACACCCCAGCGATATTTCAAATAGAGAAGGTTAGAGCAATATAAACATTGACAGTCCTTAATAAAGTTAGCAGAACAGCACTAAATTCTGGGCAAAAAAGAATTTTTTTTCCCCAGAAAAGGCCTTTTAATACCAATATTAGGTTATAAATCTCATCTCTAGGACCACTGTAATATAGGCTTATTATATAGGCATGCTAGGTTTTAATAATGCCTATCAGATATTTAATAAATTCTGTACTATGCCTAGGGGCCAGCAGATGGCATAGTGGTTAAAGCGCTGGACTCCCACATATCTGAATGCAGTTCAAGTCCTGGACTTGGGACTAGAAATTGAGGCCAAGTACATGTGCATGCATACCCAAAATCCCAGAAGAATAGAGGAGATGGGATTGTGGCATGACCACCTCCCCACCCCAGGGGGAGAATGATTCTCACTTTTCCTCTTGCTGTCTCTCTCTCTCTCCAGTGAGCACATGTGCTCTATGATAAAAACCTAAAAAAATAAAAATAAAAAAGGATATTATGCCTTGTTTTAAGTTACTTATCTTTATTTTCTATTTTTTTCTTTAATTTTGCATGTACTTACAGGAGAGAGAGGGAAGCTAAGAAAGCACCCACACACACGCACATTGAATGGCCATGCCATAGTGTCTTCTCCCCCATTTCTTCCTTTTTGTTATTGTGGGCAATGCACACACACACACACACATACACACACCTGATGTGTTTCTCAGGCCATAGGATTCAAACCACACAGATGGCCATGTGGGATTCGGCTGCCTTAACCACTCCACCTTCTGGCCCGCTTATCTTTAGTTTTCTAAGCAGTAATTTATTTATTTTTTTCCTGAAATCTGGGTCCTTCCCTTCTTTTTCCTTTCTACTTAGACAAATGATTCTCAGCCCAGGGTGATTTTGCTACCCAGGGAACATTTAGCAATGTCTGTAAATCTTTGTCTGCCACAAATGGGAGAGGATGGTGCTGGAGGCAATCTAGTGGAATAGAGGCCAGGAACAAGTCCCCTTAGCAAAGACTTATCTTGCCCCAAATGTCAATAGTGATAAAGTTGAGAAATTCTGACCTAGATGTTTCTTGTATGTTCTTCCATTTTCTCAGTAGGTTCAGGTTTATTGATGTTACTTTAGATATAAAAGTCTACATAACATATTTGATTCAGACGTCACAAGAATGTTCATGATGTCACTATTTCTTTACTTTCTTTTTCTTTTTTTTTTTTTTAAAGAGAGAGAGTTCTGCTATAGGACATGGGTGCTTGCCAGAGAGACAGAAAGTGAGAAATCACCCCCCTGGGGTAGTGTGGCTGCACCACAATTCCTTCTCCTTCATTCTCCTTTCCAGATCTTAGGCACCCCCCCCACACACAAGCCCAGCATGAGTTTTAAGCCACTGGATATGGGACTCAAAACACAGTCAACTACATGGGAGTCTGGTGATGTAAACATTACACCGTCTGCTGGTCCCAATGATGCCACTATTTCTTTTCTTATTTTTTTTAAGAATTATTTTATTTAACTTTATATACTTATTTAAATTTGACCAGAGAGGGACAGAGTGAGAGAGAGAGAATGAGAGAGAGAGAAAGCAAGCCACCAGGTCCAGGACCTGAATTGCAATTGGCCATGTGGGAGTCCGGCATCCTTAACCACCATGCCACCTGCCAGCCCCCAATGACACTGTTTCTAAGACTAAAAACAGAACAAATGAAATGTCTTTTGACAGGAAAAAGGGTAGGTATAGGGCTTTCAAATAATGGAATATCATTCAATGAAATGGAACTAGAACTACACAATATGGCCCAATCTTAATATTTAATGAAAAAAGTCCTTGAAGATAATCTTAACATAATAGCTTTTTTATAAATTTCAAAAAATGTGAAAAATAAAAATTGGTAGGTATACATTCAGATGTGATAAAGCTATAAAAAGAAGGCAAGAGAAAATGCAAAATTTATATTTTTTATGTTGAACAGGGTTTGGAGGAAGAAGTAGGTACAAAGGATAGGGGAGAAAAACATGTAAAGCTGTTGTCAGTTTTCAGTTCTTGGGTTCAGAATAAGGTTCACAGGTATTTTGTTATTAAACAAATAAGGTAAGAGAACCATGAATTGACCAATGATAATGGTTTATTATGCCAAGGATTATAAAGCAGCTGAGGTCATAAAAAGTTAAATTGAACAAAAAGGCTGCTGAAATATGGATCCCAAAGTGGGTGTTTACATAGAAAAAATATGTCATGACTTTTCTGACAACCTAATAGTAACAGTAGTAACAAGATAATCATAAAAACAATAAAAAGTAATACTTACTGAGCACTTATATGTCATGCCACTGTTCTAAGCACTTTTTATGGGTTAACTTGTTTAATCCTCACAACTACCTTATGAGCTAAATACTATTAGCCTATTTGACAGATGAGGAAACAGAAGTTACTTCCCCTAAATCCCTAACTAGGAAGCTAAAGGATTCAAATCCAAGCCAAAAAGTGTCTCCAGAGCAGATTCTCAACCCCTTCATCATGCTGTTTCTCCAACCACAAATATACAATAGTAGTAACTATATACCACTTCCTGACCTAACCTCTCTAATGTTTTTATAACTGACTTTGGTTATACTTTCGAAGACTGACTCAAACCCAAGATGTTAGAAAAACCTTAATCCTCCTTGGTCAAAAGCAGTTTTTTTTTTTTTTTTTTTTAAAGCAGTTTTATATAATGATTAGAATGCCTGACTCCTGACTCTACTGATTTCCAGCTGTCACCTTGTGCAAATTACCTGACCTCTCTGTGCTTTGTTTTATCATCCACAGAAAGGGCATATGGAGTATCTGCATCATACAGTTGTTATGAGGAAAGAGTTATTATATGTGGAAATATACAGAACAATCCAAGTACCTAACATGTTAAGTGCTGTCTACTGTTAGCTATGGATATTCTCTAACTCATCTTCGTTTTCAGTATTTAGTATCTAAGTTATCACTCTACCAAAGTAATAGTTCTTTACTGCACCTGCAAAGAGATGAGAATTTCTCCAGCTCTGCCCTAACCCACATGGCATTTCTGCATCTCCAAATCCCCAACCGCTAGAATTTGGGACAGCTGTCCCCTTCAGAGGCACACTTATCCTTCACCCTGGTGTTCCTAGAAAGTGTGACCCCACATGAAAAGTATCTATAACCATGGGCCTCTAACAGCTAAACCCTCGTAACAATGTCTCTATCCAGTTTATAATTCAACAATTTTTCTAGAACTTTAGTTACCACAATGACATTTCTTTCCTGCCTGATCCCTAATTGCTAACAGTGATTATAAAACTGAAATCATACAGACGTATAACGGAACGTACGTACTTTCAGTCCCCCTTTAAGATCTGGTCCAACATGCATTCATCAGATCCCTCTTACTTTTCCATCTCCTATGCTCCTGCCAGGGAGAACGTGTCACTGCGCCCAAAAGCCTCTACATTTTTAACGATTTTATAACCACCTGTTTTATATCTTCAAGAAAGAACCATTTTCAAACGTGAGTTGCCAAGCCTTAACAATCCCTGGGATTTGTTAAATCTTGAGTGTCCCCACAAGCACTTTCTAAACACCAGCGTTATAATCCCAAACAAAAAAGTTACAGTAAAATGTATATTCACTTGCGCCAGGCCTTCCCTGGCCTGGGGACTCTACATGGAGCTGGCAGTCAAGTCATCTTAAACCCACAGCGCCCCACGCAGCGTCTGGCATATTCTGCGTTTCCAATCAACCTGGCTGGCTGATTGAACGAACACAACAGTTGGTTTAATCTGCTTCCCCAGAAACCGCTCCCAGGGGAGTCGGACAGGAGACGCAAGGGCAATACTTTCTGGTCCAACCCCGAGCACGGCGGGAAACAGTGTCCTCGGCAAGGACCCCAGAGCAGACCGCTGCTCCCTGGCACGCAGCAGGAGCTCAGGGATTATTGACGGAATGAAATATGCTTCCTCTCGGTGCCCTGGCCGTCAGCCAAAGCGCCCCGCGGAGCCCGCACCGCCTTTATGGCAATACCTGCTGCCCCTCCCCGCCGGGCTTACGCTTCCCGCCGCCGCCGCCCATTCTGCTGCTGCAGCGCCCTCAGAAACCCGCGTTCCGCAGTGGTTTCCGAGCGCCGTCAACTGCTTCCGGGATCAAAAGCCACCAATGCGCACACCCGCCAATTTAGGGGGAAGGCTCCGCCCACGCCCCGCCCCCTGGGGCACGCGCGGGGTTGGCGGAGGCCCCGCCCACTCAGCTGGCCGCGCTGAGGAAGGCACCTCTTCACCTGTGCGCGTCGGGGCGCTGCTGACACCTCCCGAGGCACCTCGCAGGGATGCTCCAGAGACGCCACCCAGACCACAGAATCTGGTTTCGTAGAGGCGGTCCAACCTTCCTCCTCAGGTGTTCACTGGTAGCGAACTGGAATGTGTGGCACTGCCCTCACTCTGGCCCTTTCCTTGTTTTTTTTTTTTCTTTGTTTAAAAGTTTTATTTTTTCTTTCCCCTCCCTACTGTTCTGTTGTATAGTACTTATATATCCCCAGTTCTCTCAGAAGGGATTCGGTGTCTCTCTCCCTTTCTCTGTGCCGTGTTCGTAGTACAATTGGACTGTGTTCTCCACACCCCGGTTGCGCAGCTGCCACCTGAACTAGCGGCGTCCGCATCCTGAGGCAGCTTGTTAAAAACGCCCACTGGGGCCTTACCCAGGTTTAGCCAATCAGAATCTGCATAGACGGGACGCCGCATCCAAGTTTGAGGGGCGCTGCTCTCACCTGGCTGCTGGGGTATGCCTCACTGCCCACCTGGAATGTCTTACGTCTCCTTCCGAGATAGTCCCTATTTCCTAAGTTTGTCTCTTCCTTTTTCCTTGGTTTTATACCCGCATTTTGTGACACATATTCGGCTATGTTTTCTTTTTGCTTTTTAAGCAAAAATGTTAATGGCAGAGGGTATGTGCTCATTGAAAGCGAGAAAGCCCCCATCCCACCCCACTCCCACCCCCATTCCCATCAGGGCCTAGTCACTCTACAATTTTTTTCCCTCCAATTCTCCATCCCAGCAGGATCCTGGGCATGCTGCTCACCCAGTGTATTTTTCAAGCTGCAGGGGCAAGACTTGAACCATGGAGGTCATGTGGGATTTGGCTCCCTCTTTTTAAAACAACTGCTATTTTACAGGGCCAGCCTCCAAAAGTTTTTTGATGGACATGATTGGTGGTGGTGGTGGTAGTGATGCTGGTTCTTCTCTCTCTCCTCTTCTCCTTCCTTCTCTTCTTAGAACTTGTATGTCTCTGTCCTTATTCTGGTTAATCATGGAACTGAATTCCAGATTGACAATATTTTCCATTCAGAACTATTCTTCTAGCAACTTTATTCTTTCTAGCCTCTGTATCTGTGAAGGTATACATTTCTATTGCTTAAAACTACCTGATTTGTGGTAATTTGTTACAACACCTCTATGGAACCAATACACAGGCAAACATACACATTAGAGGAATAATTAGTATATAGTATAATAGTACCACAAGCCAGAGAAAACGGAAGCCTAAGTGTTTTCAGAAGGAAGGCCTGGAAAATAAGCAGATCGACATGCTGAATTCCACAGTCTAAAGAGTTGAAAGTATTATACCTCCCTGAGAGAATGAGCTAAAAAGAGACCATTAAAATTCCCAGAAACAGGGCTTGCATGTAGCCTGGTGGTTAAGGGGACTAGATCTCATGTGGCCAACTATTGTTCAAATCCCAGTCCTGGCAATAAATCCTGACAGGATGGAGAAATGGAAAAGGGATTGCAAGGTGACCATGATACCAAATGCGGGTGTGTTTTCTCCCTTCTCTGTCTTACTGCCTCTTCCTGGAAATTTAAAATTAAAAGAAAAAAGAAAAAAGAAAAAGTTCTAAAAGTAATTTGACTTCTAGAATCCCTCCCTCAGCAAAGTCAAGGAAACATTCTCTATCCCCAAATCCCAACCTGGAACCTATAAAATTATTTCTTTTAGGAAATGATGAACCAGGAGGACTGTGGATTCAGGATCACCAGATGTAGCTGAAGGTGAAGGAACCATAAAGGAATAGTGGTTTAAACAAAGGTACATGTACATGAGATTAATAATTACTTTCATTTGCCAAATTGACTGGATCATGGATGTCCAGACCTCTGATTAAACGTACTTCTGAGTGTGTCTGTGTAAGAGTACTGAATAAAGCAGAATGCTCTCACCAATGTGAGTGGGCATCATCCAGTCATTCATGGTCTGGATAAAACAGAAAGGTAGAAGGGAGAATTCATTCATCTGTTGATGGATGTTTAGGTTGATTCCATGATTTGACTATTGTGAATAATGCTGCAGTGTACATGGGAGTACAGATACCTCTTTGACATACTGATTTCAATGGCTTTGGGTATATACCCAGAAGTAGGATTACTAGATCATATAAGTCAATTTTTACTTTTCTCCAGGAATCGCCATACTATTTTCCCTAACTGCTTACATTCCCACCAACCATGCACGAGGGTTCCCGTTTCCTACAGTCTCAATAATGCTTACCTTTTCTTTTTGAAAACAGACATTCTAACAGGTGTGAGGTGCTATCTCCTTGTGATTTTAATCTGTAGATCCCTGATGATTAACTATGTTGTTGAGCATATTTTCATAAACCACAACAGTACTAGTCCTAGTGCCTTATGCATATGAATTCATTTTATCCTCATAACAACTCTATGATATAATTGCTACTGTTATCTTCATTTTATAGAGTATGCAGCTAAAACTCAGGGAGGTTAAGTGAATTGCCAAGGCCACACAGAAAGCATTGAAAAGAGATTCCAACCTGTATAGTCTTGACAGTCCAGAGTACTCTCAACATTTGGAAATGCTGTCTTTCTGGCAGTCAGTGGAGTTTGCAGAGCTATGAAATTGCACTAAATAAGGTTCTGTGGTTCAGAGAGACATTTGCCTCTTTTCCTGTGTTAATTAACTTAGAAAATTCATATCTAAAGGGTGCATCTTTTTACTATATCCTCTGAAACTCCCTTTAGTAGAGGGTAGACAACAAAACTGTGTGTCCCTTGCCTTCCAAATGGTCAGTAAAAGAGGAAATAAGCATATGTAATAATTATTTATTTTCTGCTCTCCTCTTTAAGTTACTTGAGTCTTCTTTGTCACTTATTTGGGGAAAATTACTTATCTTCTTGTTGTCCACTAATGTTAATTCATGCTTTTCCCATATCTGTGATTACTGGGAAATCTTTGAATGAAATTCAGAGGGAATGGTTTGAAATTAGAAAATCTTTACTCTTTTAATACTTTGTTTTCTCTAGCGAGTTGGTTATAAGTAGTATCTTCATTTGAAAATTATATCTTTGACTTTTTTATTTTTAAGATTCTCAGTGAGACAAACCATAATTTTCCTAGGATTCAGCTACAATATGTCCATAGCTTTGTATAAGATCATTGGCAATTCTGAGTAGACAAATCTATTTGTTTGGATTCTTTTTCTTTTTTGGGGGGTCAAATCTGGGGTAGTATTATCCACACACACTAAAATATATGTTGTTTTTGGAATGATGGTGGTGAATCTCTAGAGAAAAAAATTTCTATATGAAAACAGGATAATTGATTCATGATTGTAAGACCTCTGCTTTTCCCTTGAAAATTATAATATTGTATTTTTTAACAGAATCATTTTAACTTTATTTATTTTATTATTATTTTAACTTGGCAAGAGAGGGAGAGAGAGAAAAAAAATAAAGGGAGAAAGCAAGCTGCCAGGTCTGGGACTTGAACCTTAGTCAGCTAGGTAGGAGTCCAGCATCCTTAACCACCATGCCATCTACTGGCCTCACAATATTGTATTTTAAAATATATGTTCACACAGAAATAGATGTCAAAGGAGATACTTAGAACATGATTCCATAGAATTTTATTGAATGAAATTCTGACATGAGCTAGCAGAACTATGTAGTGACAAATTAAATAAGGAAATGTTAAGATGGCATAGTTCAAGGTCTCAAACCGAGTGAAATGGTTAAAAAAAGAGAGAAAAAGAAAACAAAATTATCCTAACCACACACTGCAACAATAGTTAATTTTTTTATTTTTAAAACATATTCATCACTTCTTTTTTAAATTTATTTAAGATAAGTTTTTGGGACCAGCAGTTAGCATAATGGCTATGTCGCTGAACTCCCATGTAGTCAACCGCGGTTCAAGTCCCAGACCCCGTGGTTTAAACTCACTCCAGGCAGGTGTGCATGCGTGCCCAAGATCCAGAAAGGAGAAGGGAGGAGAAGAGATTGCAGCGAGGCCATCCCTGGGGGATGATTTCTTGCTTTCTGTCTCTCTGTGTGTCTCTGTCTTTCTGGCGAGGGCATGTGCACTATAGCAAAAAAAAAAAAAAAAAAAAAAAAACCTCTCCAAAAATGATAAGTTTTTAAAGAAGAGTATTTCTTCCATTCTTGTATGTACCTTGACGTTTTTTAAAATTGTTTTATTTATTCATTTTAATTTGACCAGAGAGGAACAGAGTGACGGGGGGGGGGGCAGTGAGAAAGCAAGACACCAGGTTCATGACTTGAACCGTAGTTGGCCATGTGGGAGTCCAGTGCCCTTAATCACCACACCACCTGCCAGCCCCACATCTAGCTTCTTCAATAGGCACATCCTTCTGCATTTATTATGAGAACTGCTGAAAATGAAAGATAGGCTGTCGCTTATTATTCCAGGTCTTCGCATGTAGCCATACCCTCAGTATTGGGGCATATTCAGGGCAAGATAGCCATATAGAGTAACAATATGCAAAGAATTACAGGCTTAGACGGTTCAATTTTTAAAGCTCTGACTGGCAGAAATCATTTATCCTGCCAATCAGGAATGAGATGAATCCATGTAACTAAGACCACTACCTTCCCAGGATGATAACATCATATTTGAGAATGCCCAGAGCCCTCAGGGTATTCAGATTCACAGCCTATCCTGTAAAATAGGATTCCTTTAAGGGACTATTAACAATGTGTATGTGAGTGGTGTGGTAATTAAGGAGATACAGATTGTGTTATGTCTAGAGGAAATAGAGAATTGGGAAGGGTAAATTTTTGTTTAATAGCCTTGTTAAAGGTCAGCAGAAGCTTTAGGCAGAGCTGAGC